CCATCTACATATCTAAGTCCTAACACCCGCTCTCAGTAAACTGGCTGGTAATGACACTAGAGAGAACAAGTAAAAGAGTGTGGGGTTGCAAGAGTGAAAGCTGAGGGGAGAACTACTGTATCTGAAGTGTCAGATGTTCACACATAGTTGTGGTATTATGATAGCTCCCTTGAGACATGCGTGGGAGGTACATATGTATGCGTGTGTGTGTGTGCGCGTGCATTCCAGTTATTAAGCTGTACGACAATAAACCTTATTTGCGGTGGACGCTAAAATTAACCAGGCAATACCAAGATGAGAACTAAATTACATGACAAATGTAAATTTGATTTATGGTAATTATGCTGCAATAAGGCAGTCGGAGCTGCAATGTGCATGCACCTGCCACCAAACTCATACATACAAATGAAGCTATCTTCAAAATAGAGTATATAAAAAGAGATTTGTGCACCATTCAAACAGATAAGACAATGTTACAAGCCTGGGCGCTTCAGGCCAATTAATGCGTGGAAAATGCATGTACATATATATGTACTGTATGCACACACAATATACTGTATATTTGCAATTCTTAATGAGTTAAACCCACCAATAAGTGAACCTCATTCTCTGAAGGCAATATACGCTGGAACTCATACTGTGGAATTGCAATTTAATGGTATCACAAATTATATTAATGTGCGCATGATGTATAGACACACACACACGATCATGAAGATTCATGCACACATATAGGAATGTGTACAGAGTATGATTGTGAGTCTTCCGCAACTTGAATATCACCCTAAAAAGAGAGACTGCTAAATTAAAATAAACTGAGGCTGAAAGGCACGCCAAATATGTGAACACACACACACACACACACACACACACACACACACACACACACACACACACACACACACACACACACACACACACACACACACACACAAGATAAGTATACTGCACCAAGAGGCCCATATAGCAGTGCACTTTAATCACAGAGTTCATTTCATTTCCTCTCCTCTCTCCTTTATCACTGGCTTGGTTCTTATTCATCTTCATAAGAAAGCGGAGGAAGAGGAGCCAGCTCCTAATAGCTCACTGATTTACATGATGAGTGTTTAGCCCCATAGACAAACTCCTGGGAAAAGGGACAGGAGAAAATACAAGTACACAGAGAGAGCTTCACACACTCTCCATAATACACACAGTAATGTAATTTGTAATTTGTTTTCATATTACTAAGTCAAAGAATTAGAAGCAGATACACACACACTCACACACACACTCACACACACACTCACACACACACACACACACTCACACACATCAAGAGAACAAACAAGGCAGTCCCTGCTATAAACAGATGAGTTAGCACTCGTGCACTGCTTTGCTTGTTTAGCGTGTAACTCAATTTCAAAATGCTAACACTTCCATAGGCTCAGGGGCATGAAGCGGCAGGCTAGCATCATCAGCCCACTTCCCAGCAATTTAACTCCACTCTTTCAACACAGAACAGTTGTGCAGTGGCCCCATATTTTACACAGAGTGAATAAAATTAATTGGGCATTTTTGGGCACACATCATTTGCATGCTGGACCTACTTTGAATTGTAGATGAAGAAAAAGAGGGGGGTGGTTGTAATGCACCGCAGCATATTTAAGTGTGTGACCGTGTTTGTGTATGTTGTTTTTTTATCTGAGATGTGTGTTTGTGTGTGTTTGCGTGTGTATGTGTGCATGTGTGTGTGCTGTAGAGCTTACATTAATGATAATGACCTCTAGCTCCACCATTACCATCCATCATCGTGTGTTGGGTTAAGGGAGGGGAGATAATAACAAGAGTGAGGGAGAGGAATCGAATGATTAAATTGATCATGTATGTTAATACGTGCATTACACGTAAAACGAAGCAGACAGGCTCCACTGTATCTGTGGAAAAACACAATTACATGCAAAGATATTTTTATCAGTTACTAAAGAATTGTGGGAAAAAAGCAGAAATGTTGCTCCTCCATTAGTCAGGGTGTAAATCAAGATGTAATATCAAGCTCTACAATGTTAAAGATGGTAAAAATATCATAACTCATAATCCTGTTTATCCACATAAAAGTGGGTATTATGTAAAAAAGATTTTATATATTTTTGTAAGATTTCATGATACCAAGTGTTTTTTGTTACTTTCCACTGATTCTGCAGGTTAGCAAATGTAAATGCAAAAGTATAGCCAGATACTGGATTTTTGATATTTGGGAGTTTTAAAAAATCCATGTATCCCTATATATCAGCTGGAATTAAGTTTTTAACACATAAACTTTACACTTTAAGTAGGACATTTCACTGTCATAAAATTACCTTGTCAGTACTTTCTGGTGAACAAACTATTTAATTGTGACACTGTTTCTAAATTACCTTTTTCAATAGCCTTCTAACAATTCTTGTTGTTTATCAGGCAACAGAAGTTGATACAGTATCTGCAATAATCTGATATCGGCCCAGCCAATCTAGTGGTCTGTGTGAAAGCTCAGAAAATCATTCAAGCAAGAACTTTAAATATAACACCAGAGGTTAGTGAGAATGATTTGCACTGTGTTGTGTACAGAAAGAAATGATGCAGAGTGATTTAAATATGGGTAAACAAAACTAGGAGTACAGTACAGTACTTTGAGCGAAATCCTTATGTCAGCATGCTAACATGCTCACAGTGACCATGCTAACATGATGACATTTAGTAGATATAACATCGACCATTATTAGTTCAGCCTGTTAGTATGCTTACGTTTTCTAATTAGCACTGAATTTACAGCTGAGGCTGATGGGAACTTCATTAGTTTTGCTGGTATGTGCTCATAAAGGACTGGACAACAAATAGAAATGTTGACCTGATGATAGCTGAATGAGTTAAGAGGTTCACCAATGAAGGAAACATGAATGTCTGTACCAAATGTCTTTGCAAACCATGCAGTAGTTGTTAAGACATTACACACAAAACCACAATATCAACCTCATGGTGGCGCTAGAGGAAAAGTCCGGAGGTCACCAAAGTCAGTAGGATTCATCCTCTGGTGACCATGAATGTCTGTCAGGGTAATCCAACCAGTCCACCCAATAGTTATGTAAACAGATAGATACTTTAATCTGGACATAGAGAAGAACAGATTGACTAACATTGCCATCATAGTGCCAAATCACTAATGAATACATCTTAAAATAACTCTTCATGTTTCACATGCTCAGTGGAAAAATCAAACTCAAAATGCCTAAAAAAAACCATGTTACAGGATTTTCAAATAAAAATCAGAGAATAATACCAAACCATAAAATCTCACTAACCAAAAGAAATGTGAATGTGAATCTTTGAGGAAACAGAACTGTACTGACAAGTGTTTTCATTTGGAAGTGCGTATGAAGCTCAAGTGCAAAAGACGAAGACGCTGACAGGCACCATGAAAAGGAAACAGAAGAAGATACAGAGGAAAACGAGACAGAGTACTGAGTGGAAATCTGATTTCGCGTTAAGTTTCTTCAAACAGTCTACAACTTCTACAAAAATCATTATTAACAATAAAACACAATTTGCTAAATACTGCCGATCACCACTTCGTACTAAAACTGTTCAACCAATTCATTACAAGAACTTGGAGGAGGAACTGGTGATTAGGCTGCAGGAACTTCGATTTAACTGAGTGAAAGAGTTTTTCAGGACTGACAACTCCACATTTATGTTTGTTGGCTGTCGACAATAACAGGTGGAGCTCACAGCAAGGGCTCCAATTAAAATCAAAATCAACCTGCCTGCTAGTAATTGCTTTTCCACCTCCACGTTATGTGTGTGTGTGATGTCGGTGCTAAATTTAACGACATCTAAATTTCACAGGCTTGTTTGGTTATTAGACGCGTTTCCAATATTCACTCTTTTAATCTAGTTTGTTATCATTTTGAGTGATCTTTATGGCTGTGTAAAGCCACAAAGATTAAATCCTGCACTTTTCCTATGTGAGCGTTTGTGTCACAGGGCAAAGTGTCTTATTTCTCCTGTGGATACCCGAGTACTTTGTGTTGCCGCAGAGATTAGACTGAGCGCCCAGACCCATCAATATCCATGACTCCTGTATTGCTCACAAACACACACACACACACACACACACACACACACACACACACACACACACACACACATACACACAGTGATAGAGTGAGCGGAACAGACCTGACGCTCTCACTCACCGGTAAATGGCTGCTCTGATGGACTGAGGCTATTTAGACACACACACACACACACACACACACACACACACACACACACACACACACACACACACACACACACACACACACACACACACACACACACACACACACACACACACACACACACACACACTCAGCTGGTGATGGAGTGAGGCCATTCCCTATCCTCACCTCAAGCCCAGTAGCTGGCTAGCAGCCCAGTGTAGACTTGCCAATTGGCCCTTCCACCAAATCAACCACACAAACTTTTCTGATGAGCTCAGTACAGTACAGTACTCTCTCTCGCTCTCTCGCTCTCTCTCTCTCTCTCTCTCTCACACACACACACACTCTCCCACACACACTCACACACACAGATTCACAAAGTCAGTATTGATTCCCCCCTGTAGAGTCCCAGTTCACACTTTTCATGTGTTTCAAAAGTTAGCGATTCTTTTAAAATGTGCAATCCTTTGTCATTTGACTTGCCCTTGGGCTTACTTAAACACTTAAATTCTCTCTTCTCCACATCTACCATTTTCATTATCCTTCTGAAACTATTACACTGTAAATTAATATTACATTATACTTTTGATTGCTTACATTTTCATGGTCATATAATGATTACTTGTGGGCTTAGGTAATAATCACAAGGATTAAATAAATTCCCTACAGCCTAAGTCCATGCTATAGCTTTGATTTTACATCTCATTACAGCTAAATATTACATATTACTGTATAAAACTGCCTCAGCCAGTGAAAAGAGACAACAGCTTTGAGAGCAAACATGTTTGATTGACCTTTATTAACTGCTTAACATCATTCATTGTCTCCCACAGACACTATCATTAAGGACTAATAAATGTACTAACTGTAACCATGTCCCCTACAGAGCTTACTCTACACCCTTACTGCTGAGTTAAGATGAAGACATCTTTCTTCTTAACTCAAAGAGGACATCTTTCATTGAAACTGCAAAACATATGTCTAAATGTACCTTATTACAGCAGACTACGGTGGAACTTTTTAAAGACTTTTTCTAAAGACTTCTGTAGCTTCTCAGGGATTTTTACAGCTTTTTTTTTTTGTTCCGTTGTGTGTGTGTAAAGATGTCTTAGCACGAGTCTGAATGCTTAAATTGAATGCTTGTCTGGTTCTGAAGAAAAGAAAAGATGTTAAGGTGTACAGATCTGCCTCTGTGTCCCAACATGACGGAATGGCAACAGCCCCATCACTGCTAAACAATGACTGAATTAGTCAATTATACTGAAATCTTCTTAGAAATTGCCATTAATGTCTTCTTCATTATGTTACAGGATATTATGATTGTGTTCATTCCAGCAGTAGACAGTCATTTGACTCTATGTATGACGACAATGTCAGTCTGTCTACCACTTTGTTTCAGACTAAAACATATCAACAAGTATTGTGGACTGTGGTGATCCCCTGGCATTTCATCTAGCGCCACCAGCTGGGTCAAAATTTACTGACTTTAGCTAGTTAATAGCTTAGTCTATGACCAAACACTAATAAGACTCCCATCAGCCTCAGTTAGCATTGTTATTTGGAGAATGTAATTGTGCCAATGGCTCATTATTCCGAAACCAAACGGCCATTCCTCCGAAGGCCCGTTGTTTTCAAAAATACACAGTGTGGTATCACCAACTTACGTACAGAACATAAGTGAACTAACAAATGTACTAATTTCAACCCTAGCAAAGTATTTTTGATGCATAAAACTTAACCAAACTGCAACCAATTCACAGCATCAACCATTTGTTTATTATTGTTACCATGATGATGAAGGTCACCTGACTTTGTCCTTTCCTGCACATTTAAATACGCTAATATATTAAGGGGAAAACTGCAGGAAGAGTGTGTATTTTGGAAAAAAAAACATGCATTCGGAGCAGGGGGCTGTCAGACAAATGGGCTTTCGATGCAATTGGACATTTTTCGGACTATTTGGGTATCAGAATAATGAGCCGTCTGAACAATGTCTCCATGGCTGTAAACTCTTGATTCTCTACAAGCTGTAGTTACTCAAGCTGTACTTATGTGGCAAAGAAAATCTAAGTCAGTTTATCTTTACAACACTGTTCTCTAAGGTCAAGACTCAAAACAGTAGCTCAAATCTTCATAGAGTAAAGGCATCTAAGAAAGGGAGTACCCCAGCTGGGCTCTGGATAGGCCTTGTCAAGTCTGATGTTTGTGTGGGTGTGTGGCGGGTGTGTGTGTGTGTGTGTGTGTGTGTGTGTATAAAGTCAGATACACAAATCACCATGAGCCAGAGATGCCAGATGGAGCTGGGATCACTTTTCTGTCTATCTTCATTTGAGCGAAGTCCCCGAGGCTGTGCTGTCCATTGTTTTTCCACAGACAAATAAGGGAGTTGTTTCAAGACAAAATTCCTTTTAAAGTCTCCATGGGAAAAAATAACCTTTTTTCAATATTGTTATGTGTTGTATTACACACTTATTTACCAATATGTACCATAAAATATCCAAAAGGAAGAAAATGCTGAAAATATAAAGTACAAAAACACTTGATCCTTCACATCCCGTTTGGACAATAAATACATCAAATGGCAGTAAGTGCCCGTGAAAAAAGACTGAGTGGTTTTGTTGCTAAAATGAGCATACATAACCAAAAAGTCAGTGAAGCAAGGAACAGAAACTGCAAGACTGCATGAAGACAAATGGACCACAAAATTGTCAGTCAGGCCGAGGTTGGGTGCCATTTTGTATCCCGGTTGGTTGTCAATTCCTCATTAACCCTTTCTCTCCTGGTAGCTCCTGCCCGCTTTTAGGTGAGTGACTGTAAAAACAATCACAAGATCAATAAATACAGTCAAGACACTCCACTCAAAGACATCTTTAAGGCTTAGTTTAATGATTATAAGAGTTCACATATCACGGATTCACCCCTGGATGGCCCCATCAGTTTTTTGTGATATGAAAACCTGTCTCACAAGTCTAGAAAAACCACAGAATCAAAACCTCCAATGTTAGGTGTCAACTTCGTGCACCAGCCTGAATATACTCCCTTGGCGATGATTGGAAGACTGACTTTGAGAACTCCAGTATAGACTGTCAACTTTTACTGACTTTTATATTACAACAGTGCACAATCACTTTCAAACCATAAGGCACACTCTAATTTACCAGAAAAATAATGCTGAATGTGACCTCTTTCTATTCTTTAAGCATCAGAGTGAAAATTATAGAAGTGGGAGCATCACAAATGCTATTTCATTCTTTGCAGTTGTAAAAGGCAGTCATGACTATTTACTGTTACACACCACACTATCCTGAGGCATAGAAATAAAACGTGAAAAAGCTGCAATTAAGTGCCATTTTTCTGGCTCAAGTTCTTATGACTACATTGCAAACAATGGCCTAGTTCTTTTTGTGCAACTGTTATTAAAGTTTTTATATAAAATAAGAAGAAAAACTTGCCAAATACTATTTTTTACTTACAATAAAAATGTTTCAGTTGTTCCTCAGAACTCCCACTAGAAATCATGGCATTTTAATTACGAACATTTTAAATACCTACAGGACAATTCAAAAACACTGCAGCTTAACCAGAGAGTGAAACAGAGCTGTGAAAATTAAACTGTACAACTACGGCACAATGCACTTTAGAGGCAGACTCTTCACCTGGATAAAGATTGTCTTCTGTCCACTCCAAAGTCCTCTCTCTCATCTTTTACCCCCACCTCTCCACGCTCTCCAGAGGTGTCGGGTGCCGGGTCAGGGGGTGTCCCACTGGGAGCTTCAGGGGACCTCTTTCCTCCCTGTCTGGTGTCTTCTTGCGCTCAGTGGTCTCCCTGGTCTTGCTCTTGTTCCTGCTGTGGGTGCAGAGGTCCATGTCCCTCCAAGGACCACTGCTCCTCCTACAGCAGTGAAGACAACAGGGCAATAATATTTGGGATCAGCGTGAGTTTCGCTGGTTTGCGAAGTGACCCTGTGACCACAAGATTGCTACTTTGAATCAGGAGATTAACTGGGGTCATTTGGATTTGGAAAACTTAAAAACGCAACCCAGTCTGCCTGAGGAGCTCACATCAAACTGTTGTGGGAGACTCTTTAATATGAGTCACAGTCTCTGTATTTCCTCCTTGCTTGAAAGCATATTCATAATTAACAGTGTATCCTTTGATAACCTTAAATGCTGGATATGCATGTAGTCTTTCATTTGCAGAATTCGCCTCTGATAAACATAACACAGACAGACAGAAATGTGGCATATTATCTCTTAAACATTTAAAGTAACACAAAGCAGATTTAAAAAAGACAACTCATCTTTGTCTAACAGCTCTGCACGCATGTGATGCTACACATGCGGACAGGCATTTACACTGTACTACCAAGAACACCTCCTTGTATGTGTACAGTATATGTATGTAGGTGTGCATGCATGTTTGCTTTTATTCATGCATGTTCTTCTTTGGGATGTGTTAGATTTGTGTGGCTGTATTTGCGTGTCTGTGTGTGTGGGCCTGAGGCAAACTGAAATGAAGCAACCCTCTGCAGACACCGCCCCGGGCTAACTTAATATGGGCCTCCTTTGACACAAACACACACACACACACACACACACACACACACACACACACACACACGTCTAACCGTGGCTTGATGCTGGGTTTCACATCCATTTCGTCAACTACCACCCACCAGCACGCTGCAGAGTGGGAGGTTAGGTTTTATCAGAGCCAGCCTGCACTTACTGTACGTTTGAACCATGAGGATCTAAGGCTGTTACCTCGACAGTGTTGTGCTGAACAATATATCTGCCATCCAAAACAATTTATTTCAAACATGCAGGTTATGTTATGTAAATCGAGCTACTGCAGTGAACTCAAATGACCTGTGTATGTATGTTTTGTTTACCTGTCCGAACAGACCAACGGTATCTCCTGGAGGGTAGCTGAGAGCCACACTGCAGTCGGATGATGACGAGAGAAGGAGGAGTCTTTCACCATGGTAACACATCTCCAGGTGAGTCACACGTTCAAGGTGTGGGCGGAAACTACGCAGTAGTTTTGGAGGTTCTTTGGTTATTCCATTATTTGCCTCAAGACAATGATGCTGAGGGACAGAGGAGCAAAGTTGAATAGTTTATCTATGTTTTGGCTGGAAGAACATTTTCCTTTGTGGATGTTCAAAAACATGCATTTAATTTATATCACTGTAAGGCCCTGGACACTTAATGTTGCTATGCCTGTCAAGCGTTACCTTCTCTTACTGCAAATAGCAGTTTACGATGGCAACATTCACAATAGCAACAGTGGCAGATTTACCATTCAGAATTCTTCATACACACACACACACACACACACACATATATATATATATATATATATATATATATATATATATATATATATATATATATATAAAATGTTATTTATTTATTTTTTTAATCTATATGGGTCCTTCCACACAGATGTACACAAAAGCAGCTTTGCATTTCTTGAATTTCTTGTTTGGCGACTGTGTATAGTTGGCTAATAAATATTAGTTTTTAGTATTCAATGAATGGATACATACTTGATATGCTAGAAAGACTAAGCTAAAGGTACATGTCCTTGGTAAAAGGACAGCTGATGATCCACGTATAAGACTAAAATAAAGGAACAGCATATTGTTCTTGTACCACGGAGTAGAGACACTATTATACTGCAATATGATAAGATCAGACTGTTATTTCGTTCTAACATAAGCCCTGTTTGGATACTTCGCTTACTATAGAAAAACATACATGGGTTAGATTTATGCATTATTATTTGTATTTTTGTTCTTCCAAAAGAAAAGGCTTTGAGGATTGAAACAAATAAGTTTTGCTGGGGTTGCTGGAGTGTAAACCTCCCTTATTCCAATAAAGAGCAAAACAGAGCTGCCAATGTTATCCTAAACTCTAATACCATCCAGGAACACAGTGGGGAAATACTACACCATTGCATTTCCTACAGTTTTGCTGTTGTGTTTTTGGTTTTGGAAAGGTGCTAAAATAAGTCACCTTCCAAACTCTTTTGACAACAAGAATTGCTCTTACAATAGACCCCTGCAAACCACTTCAATATGTGTAAAAATGCAAAGCTTGACAGGTCAGCCATAGTTACAGTTGCTGAGCTATGTCTGAACAATCACTGGGGAGGGGTTACGTGAGGGTTCAGTAATAAATGAATGAATGGCCATATGTGTTTTGCAGCAAGAAATATCAAAAACATACAGTACATTTATTGTAATTAAAACAAATACTTTGTTACTTTATGTTGAATGTTGTGTAATATGTAATACCCTGGTCATATCTGTATAAGTTAAAGGTGTATATAGTCCATATAGATTTTATATTTATTTATAATTCTCTCTCTACTCTGACGTCTGACTCTTGAGCTACTGTAACAAGTTAATTTCCCTGGTGTGCCATCAATAAATGTTATCTTGTCATATCTTAAAATAACTACCACAAACTACTGCATCATGTAAGGATGAGACCTGGTACTGAACTACCAAGTCCTGTATCTAAGAGCACAATACTATACAATACTGTGCAGTCATGTAAAGTCATCCAGACTGCGTGTGCCAGACTAGCCAAAGGATAGGATTTCTACCAGAGCACTGAGCTTGTCCAACTTCTTCAACTCTGCTACATATATACATATATCTCCATAAATTAAACTGGAAGCCAAATGAGATCAACCATTTGAATTCATTGCCTCTTATAAACTGTGACAGAGAGTTGAACTGCGAATATTGTGGCAATAATACCCGAGAGGGTGTTCTTTTACTGCGATTATGAGCATGACAGTGATGCAGCTACGCCTCATAACGTAGTCTTCATAATCAGAGTCAAAAAGTCAAAAGGGCTTCTCTGAGGTGTCAAAAACTCTTCAGCAACCAACCATGTGTGGTGTTAAGTGGCCACGCAGCCTACGCTGAAGTGAATCTCTAATCAGCTGATTTGGCTGAAATTACTGATAATTTTACTTTACTCTTTAATGATTTTATCCTCTTCTAGTGGAGGTGATTTGCCAAACAAATGACAAGAGTAAATTTGCTCTTCCACACATTTCAGACTGTGAGACATTTTTCCTCACTACTACATCATGCATTTTTCTTTTTAAGATTTAATAATCAATCTTATTTTGTTTTACGAGTAGCATAAAGGGAACTATAATCTGAATTTCATTACACAACCCTGTGTTGTAAATGACAGTAAAATAACCTTGAATCCTTGAAATTCAGAATCAGTTACCAGAGGATGGGGGCATTGTGTCCTTATGCTAATCAGTGGAGATTTTTTAAATGATTGACTGGTCTGGTTGTACTCGAGCAAGCTGCTGGGGCTTCAAAACGACAGACCGTACTGTCATTCCCAGAGTGAACAGCATGCCTGATCTAACGGAAGTATCACGGTTCACTTTCTCTTCACACTTTGTCTACTACAGTCTGTCTGTTGATCTCTGTCCCTCGCTGCGGCCCTGTGTTCATCTCCATCACTCAGCCTCTTGTTCTTCTTACAGTATACACAAATGTCATGAAGGCATGCAGTGCAATGTTCATTTGTGTGGTCCACTGCAGCTTGTATACAATACATGTGTGTGCTACAAACACCTACCTGTATGTCCCAAGCCTTGAGCGTTCCCTCCCTATCAGCTGTGACTAGATATTTTCCACAGGGGCTGACAGTCATAACAATAGACCCCAGGTCTCCATTGTGAGCTGTGAACTGTCCTACCAGATGGCTGTGGACGGTGTTCCAGAATCTGACCACACCTGATCCTCCACAAGACACTAAGTCTGCACCACCTGATGGAAATGAAGGAATATACATATATAAGTTTGTGTTTAAGTTTAAAAGCAAAAATATGGCATCAATAGCAAAAACATGAAAAAGCAGAATGCGAATAACAGTTATAACACACCTAAAAAGATCAGCAACACCTTTCCGCATGCTTGTCTGTGTGTTGAACCACAGAAAATCCTTAAATCCTTTGCTATCTGTACAATCACTGATGATGTACATATGTTCTTATTTTAGACAGCACAGCAGGGAACTTGAATGTTAGGAGCTGATACAGTATCAATGAAGGAAGCAGGTCTGACCACCCACAGACCATCAAGGGCCGAGTCTTCCAGCCAGAGGCAGAGATTGTGCTTTCGCAAAAACATACGGCACCTGAGCCAAAATGATGTCAAACTTCCCTGCAACAAAGCCTTTTCTCAATAGGAGAGATGATGCATAGACACAGAGTCAAAAGGTGGCAGCTGACCAGGTGTCATCTGGCTGTAAAATGAGTTCATAGAGTTCATAGATAGATACACTGCTCTGTTGACAACATGTACTGCCAGACGAGGGCTCAGTCTCAACAACACACACACACACACACACACACACACACACACACACACACACACACACACACACACACACACACACACACACACACACACACACACACACACACACACACACACACACTCACTCAGTCAGTCAGTCAGTCAGTCTGGGCTGCAGGCATAAAGGCAAGGGTCCAGAGGCTGATCATGTGTTTTTTTTTTTTTAGCAAGCTGCTAAACAGCTACAGCGAGCAGAAGCAGAGGCTACTGTCGGAGTAACACTGAGAATAAATCAAACTGGAATAAAAACCTGAGCAACCACAGGTAAAGTTAAAATAAAGAAGGAGAGAAAAGTAAACTTCAGAGTTTGAGTTGCTGCATATGAAAAGTAGTTAAAATTGGAAAACTTGAAGCGAACTCAACACATCAAACAATCATTGATGTGTAGCTACTGTACAAGTTACCCGGAGCCTTACTGTCTTTGTAATGTGCAAACATAATACACACAGAGTAATGCGCAAGTGTGCATCCATGTATTTACAGCTGTGTATTTCAGCAACAAAAACAAGGCTGTATGTGCAGCGTATCTGAACTTTAAAAAAGGCTTTTGATTGTGCAACTATTTCAACTCTCAAGTAACTTCACTGTGTTTGCATAGACTGTAACTCTTCAAATCGCAGGCTCTCACAAATCAACTCAAACTATATATACAATCCAGGCAAAATATACGGATGGGAATCTAATTAAAGGACAAACCTGAATGAATGAGTGGAGAAACGTGACAGGACATTGAATGGTTTGATGAAATTATGTGAATCAATTGAACACCTATGGGAGATTGGAGAGGGCTCCAGAGACTAGGAGAGTTACGTTGTAATCTCCTTTGAATTGGCACCCATCTGTGTGTTTGAAAAGACTTTGACCTCAAAACAAAAAATCCAAATCACTATTTGGTTTCCGAGTTGGGAAGTTTTCGTAGCTATAATAAAACTGGTAAGTCGTAATAGAGAATTTATTTGGATAAGAATTTATTTGGATAAGAATTTGCTTTGTAATCCCTGCCTTCATTTTGGGACAGCCCCTGAGGCGATGCTAGCTAACATTGTTACTTGAACATTATGCCGTGTCCGACATCTTACAGAACCTATTTTAACAAATAAGCCACACTCAACTAAGGTTGATAAGGATTACACAGTTGCAGTTTAGTTTTCACCTGTAGCTGCAGCCGCAGGTGTGCGCCCTGGTATGAAGAACAATCTAGTGATGGCAATGGAGTTATCAGAGTCTTCTTTGCCATTTGCACCAAGGTGAGAATCGGGGAAATGACCTGGAAAAGTTGTAGACAGAGAAGAGTGAAAAGATATAGAAGAAAAAATAAGGAAAGAGGGAACAAACAGAAGAGCAAGAAACATTAACTTAAAAATGGCAAAATTATACGGTGTTGTTTGACTTATTTGCAGCTGTGTGTGAAGGTGAGACCTAGCTGCTTCTTGCCTTCTCTGTGTTCAGCATGTGGCCGCAGTTTCCTCAAAGCTTTTTCTGTGCTGTTGTTCCACACTATAATCTCTCCATCGTAACTTCCTGCACACATCAGAAGGGAGACGAAACAAAGTGCAAGCGACTTGTGATTAACTCTTAAAACACATTGCTCTTTGGCATTCTTGTTCCGACAAGGGGCTGCAAAAACTGACAGGCTTTCATATTAACCAACAGAAAACGTCACATTTTCAAAAGAAATATTAACAATCTACACAAACTTTGTCTCAACACACACACTTTTACTTTCTTCATGCTGCTGAATCATGCAAGTCAGACACTAAAATCACTTCAGAGATGATAAAGCTCAACATCTGTCCCCAGCTACCATCTGTTCCACCACTCAAACCTTAACGTTCACCTCAAGAGAAAGTGCTTTTCAAACAATCTGCATTATATACATAAGAAAGTGTGTGTGCGTGTGTTTATCATATAAGGCAGGAATCTCGTCAGGTGGCTCGACAGTTGAACAGCAGGAGTTAATGAGATATGTGAAGAGTGTGTTAGCTATGGGAGGTGTGTATGTGTGAGCAATAGGAGGTATAAAGTTTATGAGAGAGTGGGTCGCCTGCATTATTCATGCCGCCCAGGGCCAGCTTCTGTATTTCAAGCAACTTTTATCATGCCATGTGTGTGTGTGTAAGACAGAGATGGAAAAAGGGCGTGAGGCAGTGTAGATATCTCTATCATCTACACGATGATGAGCTTTAAAATGGGGCTGGATTAACATAACCCTCATTAACTTTTAAACGTGCTCTAATATGCTAAAATCTGGCCATTTCTGACAACACACATTAATACCACAGCACACAGGCCTATAAGCACTGGGATACACGTTCATTAACGCAAGTAGAAATACATGAAACTATGTACGAGATCACACTATCAAACTCCTACCTCCTTTTCATTTCAACATCATCACACTGACAGTGGAAAGTTGAACAAAAGAATAGACAAGAGATGTCATGTTTCTTATTCCACACTTTCTTCTTAAGAAAACCTGCAAGCTAATATAGCCATGAGCCACTAGCCTCAGAGATAAGACGCGAGCTGGGTTTGGTAAACTCATAACTTTTTTTTCATTTGTTAAGTCACTTGAGGACATTTATCAGACTTCAAAAGACAAACGGCTTTATGTAAGCTTTTTCACATACGCAGCCGTGTTCCTTAAGTCCTGTAAACAAACTTTGATGTGTAAAACTGGTGAATTTCCCCTTTAACCCGCAAAACTTGTCAACAAAGAAATGCGAAATATACAGTATGTATAAATCAAAGCATCCACTGCTTGAAAAAGATGTCACTGCTGTCACTCAGTATGCTGATTTCCACGCTTTCATTTCCATTTCTAAAACATTTTGGCCATCCATCAGAGTTCAGATGAGTTGGTCCTCGGTCGCTTGGAAGGTGTTCAGCCATGGAGGATTAAGGGATCCGAGGAAAAGGAGGAGTGAAAAGGGGGAGGTTATGACTGAAGGAGGTACACAGGACCCCTGTGTGCATGTACCCTGCTTTTTTTGTGTGTGTGTGTGTGTGTGTGTGTGTGTGTGTGTGTGTGTGTGTGTGTGTTTGACAGTGTCTGTGTGTGAGAAGCCAAGCGGAACCTAGCGAAGACTCTGAATATGGATGAGGAGGCTTCAGTCCCACATCAGCCAAATGTTCCTGCCGCAACTTGATTCAACTTGAGACACAAACAAACAGATGCATGTACAAAAAATTACACACACAAACACACAGTCCTGAGCATGTGTGCGTCCAACAGAACTTTAAATTGACTTTTGTCACTGGTGGCCATGATGCCACCACTGCTTTCGCTTGGCAGCACTCGCACATAATTTGGCAACACGCTCGCTTTGATGTGAAACAGCATTACTCACTGCAACCCTGAAGAAATATGATGGCAACTGAAATGAATGCGTCATTGCTTTTAGACGCCGTCTTTGTGCTCGGCAGATTTGGGGAAGAAAGAATTAGCAAAAAATAGTTAATGTGGAAAATACTCCACATAACCACTTTTTGCCAAGATAAGTGTGGAAACGTAGGAAATCGGGACGTGAATGTGATTCGTCCTTTTTTCTGACATTCGCCCAAAGGCCAGAGAAAGAGGGAGCAGCTCACAGGATATTAAAGCGTAGGAGGAATTTATGAATGAATTACATCATTTTATGATTTTTTAGTAGTTGACCTGGATATACCAGTACCTCTGACCACACAAAATCATTCCAAACACTGAAAGGTCACAGGTTTGATTCTACAACAAAAGTATTATCAGGTAGAGTGCTGCATTCTAGCTTATAACATAAAATGCTGCTTATGAGGTGAATCATTTGCATTCATCAGATTGCCAAGACCTCAAGAGGCATCAATATTGTGAACCGACTGGCTGAATGACAGAAATAAATGACAGATAAAGAGGGATTTTTTTTTTGCAAACACTCTGCTGGTGAACTACAAAATATTCAATCAAAGCTTTTGTTTTGTCAGTTTCTTGCATCAACTGTTAACAAAGGCACTCATTGATTTGGTGTAAGCCCCAAAATACAACCTAACTGTCACATTTCAGAGACCTATGCAAATGAACACACCAATATAAATCATTTTATCCTATCTTAGCATATACAAACCCCTTCCCCTGCAGCCGTACAACACACACACACACGCTTGAAAGACAGAAAGTACTATGTCTCATTTCCCCTTACTCCCACTGAGAGAGCTCTAATAAACATAATTTAAATTGGGCATTTGGATTAAATTGGAGGTACAGCATCGAGCTGTGCGAGTGTGTGTGTGTGTGTGTGTGTGTGTGTGTGGGCGGGGGAAGAAATGCGGCAGGCTAACTAGGGAGATGAGGTAAAAAATAAACAGAAGTGAACGGGGAGTGTCAGTTAGAGACTGGAGAAAAGAGAGGAAGCAGGCAGAGAGAGGAGACGAAACACACCGACAAAGAAATTGAGGAGCAAACTTTTGAAGAAGAAGTTTCCAAGTTCACAGAGTGGCTCCTGAATTGTGCTTTTGTTCCAGCTCCAACTATTCATTTCCTTCCAAACCATTTCTCCCTCCAGCTTTGAGAACACCCACTCTTATCTACCTTTCCACCTCCATCCCTCACTTTATCGCTCTCTATACTTATCTCTGGGGTTGATGCGTCTCAGAAGGCCAGAGAAAGGTCTGCAGTTTGTGTCTGCGCGCCGCTCGCACAGACTGGTAAACTGAAACTGAACTTTCAATACGTGAGCCAAAGTGATACAACTTTACAAACTGAAGAGCGTACTGGAGAAAATTGGGTGCAGGGTGTTTGTAGTTTGATGGTTATAGAAGTGGACCAGTGATTGGAAGATTTCCAGTTTAATCCCCCAGGCAGAAAAATGTGATGAGGCGCCTTGCTGGTATTTCAAAGTATGCTGTCTTCACATCTAAAAAGACCTTAACAGACCAGGTCATTCTGGTGATCCTTTGTTAGGATGTTGATTTATTCATGTAATGGGAACGTTCTTTGTTTCTCTGGTTAATGGGGGTTGTCAGTTTCAAATTGCGCAATGTGACAGCTTGGCAAATGGGATTAAGTGCCACAGGGTTAAGGGTCCACAAAACCATAAAAAACAAACAAAAAAAAAAAAGTAAAATCATGAGCACAGACTTTAGAGACCAATTCCAAAGATTGTATGAACTGAGAAGTGGAACATAAAGTGACTGGAAGAAGAGAAAGCCAGAGGCACCCAGTGTTTCTGCTAGTGCTGGTGTGATTTTAGGACTCTATACTGATGTGTGAGTCCATGCAATGACCAGTTGCTTGATCACTTTGATGGTAATTCTGGATAATGTTATGCAATGTGTAATCTTATTTGCTTCTTCCCCACCAAATGTTTTCTGCAACAACTACTGGAAAAGGAATAGTACAGAGGTAATAAATACAGACACAACAACACCCTTCCCTGTTTGTCCAACCTACTACTTCTGAATACAAAAAACAACAAAAAACAATAACAAGACAAAAACAGAAGAGGACATTTGTCGGCCTGAATAATTGTCCCTTCGAGCTCTCTGTGGGCGGTGCTTAGTTATGGTTATATTAGAGATAGAGAGAAGGAGGGAGAAAGAGGTAAAGAGTAGGAATAAGTGAAATAAGAAGTCTAACATTTTACTGAAAATAAGTTTCTCTAGGCCGAACGCTAGCATTTAGCAGTACTGTATGTGTATCTGTAATCTTTTTTATCATATGTTATATACTGTTTGACCTTTCCAGTTCACCTGCTTCTAATGCAGTCCTAATTAAGAATTTAATTAGGACAGAACTTGCCAATTAATAGGCTCTAATATGTAAAGGTTTCGGTCTGTGGTGGAGGCAAATGTCAGCTCAGAGTATAGAAAAAGGAAGCTGTTGTTCCTCTAAGGAGTAAAATACTGATATATGAAGAAAAAAGACGGCAAAAAGCATCTTAAACACTGTATCTTTCAGCAGTGTGGCGCACACTAACGAAAGGCAATGGGGTCTGGTAGATCTGCTGTATGTTTCTAATTAGATCTTTTTCAATTCACTGACGCCTATTTTGTACACACAGTATATCATCCAATTTTACAGTATTTATAATGTGGATTTGACATTTAACCAAAAGTTCTAAAATGCGGGGTGTTCACAAACTTTTGAGTTCTGGTACACACTCAAGGGTGTACAAGACAGTACAGTTGTACTTTTGTGCTTTTGATTGTGAATTCTGAAATATATTAAGCCTTTCTCTGCCTACACATGTGCACCGACACACATAAAAACACAGAGCTATTTCCAGCAGAGAGAGATGTGTGGAGCATGAGTCCTTTGATAACAACACCACTTACTTTAATCAGCAGATAACTGCTCCCAGTTATTTTTCATTTCACTGAAGTTTCTTTTTTTTTAAGATCCATTTTCATTTCCAAGCCTTTTTTCCTCTTTCCATCTCTCCTTCCTCTGCATGAGCCCTCATTCTTAATTTAAGTCATGAAAGCGTAAATTATAAAGGAAAGAGAACACACAGAAACACAGGAGCACTCGTGCACATGCACCCTCGTGGCATTGGATACACTTCTGTTCAAATGACTGTTCAATTACTTAATACACTGTGTGGCAGTGTCTCTGTTTAGTTTTGTGTCAATATCAAAAGTGTTCATCACGTGTACACTCGCACAGACAACACACACACCTGTGACCAGAGTCTGAGGAGGCTGAAATGTGGCACAGAGCACATCACTGCGATGTTGAACACCTCCCTTCCATTCTGATGGCTCAACAAAAGACTGCGAGAAGGAATGCAGACGGAAAACTGTTAACATCCTGCAGAGACAGAGAGACACAGAAAACACAGGTGGTGGCGGTGAGAAAATTGAAAAGTATAAAGGTGTGTTACAAATCTCATAGACTTGTTTTTACAATAAATTCTGATACTAGCTGGTTTATCAATAGTACAGTAGTAGTAATAGAAGTATTAATAGCAGTAGCTGAAATAGCTGCAGTAGTAGTAGTAATCTTAGCAGTAGAAACAATATCAGTATAGAAGTAGTGATAGCAGTAACAGCGAGGATAGTAGGAGTAGGATAGTATAATTAATGTGCAATGTACAATTGTGGGGTAAATGATCGTACCAAGAGTACGGTCTAGACCTGCTAGTATATGAAAATGATTGAAGAAAAGTATTAATAATAGTAGTGGTAGTAGAAGAAGCCATGGCAGTACAAAATGCAAATAGCAATTTTAAAAACTGACTTCCAGATTTTCCATGTTAAAGGAAAACTTCTCACAGTTTTGGTATTGTATATGAAATTAAAAAACGATGCACAGTGATTTCAAACTGGGGGATATGTCTGTCAGTGGGAATTGGATATTTCAGCCTGTGTGAGATGGTATGAGCAGCAGAAGGCAATAGGACTTTGAATTAGATGCCATGCGACACAGCATTATATGGATTAAACTGTGCTCTAGGTGGATGTGAAGAAAGAGGAAATGATATGAGTGTTGAAAGTCATAAAGGCAGTATTTTCCTTTATTGCTGCTGATCTGTCGTCTATGTTCTCTTTACCGCTGTGACACCCCAGAGAGCAAGACTGTGCGTGCATGTGTGTGTGTGTGCATGTGTATGTGTGTGGAGAAGAGAAAGAAAGAGAGAGCGTGAGAGAGAGAGAGAGAGAGAGAGAGAGAGAGAGAGAGAGAGAGAGAGAGAGAGAGAGAGTGTCGTATAACTTGATGATGCTGAGTTCAGCTCACTGGGTGTGAAACGATGATGATGAAGATGAAGAGCAGATGTGATGTGGGTATACAACGAAACACGCACACACACGCACACGCGCACACACACACACACACACACACACACACACGCGCGCACACACAAATATGAGGTAGTGATACTCGTTAGAGTCCAGATGTCTGGCTGGCTCCGAGTTGTTGGCAGGCAGAGAGCGCAGGAGAGGACACAGAAACACACACACACACACACACACACACACACACACACACACACACACACACACACACACACACACACACACACACACACACACACACACACACGCACACACACGCACACACACACACACACACACTCACTCATTCTGACTATTTGACAGCAGCAGTCTCTTTCATACACAATGTGCAAACATACACAGTCTATGAGGGTGTGACTGCATCAGAACACCTGATTTGAACACATTTTCAGCATTGCATTGTAAGTAATTAAAAAATAATAATTGCACATCTACAGTACCTTTCCCAGCCCATCGCTAGTATACTCCTCTTCAGCAACAGGACCTGTGAGATCTCCACAGCCCGACCCAGGCCAGCGTTCATCCTGTGGAGGCAGCGGCCATTGAAGTCCCACACCTGCAAAAGACGCCACAAATGATACTCGGAAAAACTGTTCACATTGAGGTTGCATTGCATAAACTTGAAACGATCAGATTCTTTGTGATTTGTGCTGTTCACACATTGTCAAGAAACAAAACAAATCTGAGTCACATATGAGCAAAACCATCAAATTTGTGCCATCACAGCACCAAATGAATCAAATGAATGAATGAAATCAAAGAAAACTCAAATGTTTGTTAGGATGTTTAGCAGAACATTACAGCACTACATACACCACAACATCGTCTTGTCTAGAAAAGAAAGCGGTAACAGAAACAGTAACTGCTGTATTCACTTTTGAAAGTCCAACAGCTTGTGAAGTTAAGTTGTGTTTTGAAATGAGAAATTCTTTTGGCCACCTACATAAGTGTACAAACTATCAAGCTACAATCGTACTGTATATCCATTAAACATGACAACCCAGGTAATATTTTCACACCCTCTGTCCCATTTCGCATGATGAAGCAGCTTGGATCTGTGTTCTGGCATTTAACAAAGAAACACTGATTGGCCCAATGGGAACGCTGTAATTAAAAGGTCAAAATTTCAAATTCTGAATGGCCCTAACTGCTACACCACGGGTTCAGTGTTGATGAAAATTGGAGAGATGATGCATCTTGTTACTAATTGGTCCAAGGGGTGCCTGCTTCTTCTGCTGAGGATGACTTGTGTAGTTGTTTCAAATGGCACAGTAAGTGTATATACCTGACACTGCTTGCACATGCACAGAATGCACATGGCTGCATTTTCACAAGAGCTCATGGGGTCAGGGAACTGATGTGGTTGATTATATTGATTAAAATATGCATAATTATAATTATTGTTTAATTTTTTTTTTATCTGTTGAGAACAATTGCACCAATCTTGGAGTAATTATGCAGTGCTTGAATGAGGAGGGCAAATACAGTCACAGAGCATAATATGTTTAAATTTCCAGCCCAATTTGAAACTCTAAAGTAAAAAACTACATAAGACACAATTCTACTCATAGAAGACACACATGCTTGCATGTTCACATACATAATTAGAGAGGGTGCAGGCAGAGAAAGCTACAACCTTTATCAAAAACACAAAAATGTGACAAAAACTCGTTATGCAAGGTGACAACATGCATAACCAAACACACACTATCTCACTTATGCACAACCATACATTAGCGCCAAGATCGAAAATTGGCTGCCGCTATGTCGATAACTTAGTGCCATGCCAGTCCTCATCGGTATCTACAGCGTGACAGACATAAACCCAATGTATTGAGTATAAATCCAGCTTTACTGTGGTCAAGAACTGTGTGCATAGAACACTTTGTGGGTGTCAGTGGGTCTGAGGTAAAATATATGTGTTATCATATATGTTATGTATATACAGTATGTATGTATATGTATATATGTTATCAGAAGCAGTGAGCTGAATAGTGGACAGGATGTGGGAAGATCGCTCATACAAAGTGGCAGTAAGTGGCAGTGGAGGGGCTTGTGTGTTCCAGTCTCAATCCTGTGGTGTTCAGAGGATGAGCCACTGGAGGACTGCACTCAGTGTACTGAGATATGTTTATGAGATATTTAACTAGATTCATTCAGTCAATTTCATCGCATTAATTCAGACAGTTTCACTGGAACTATTTAGTAGATGTCCTACACTAGGAATTAATTGACACCCAGCAGCCATCAGAATAGAGTATTCACCCAGACCATGGTATAAGTTATGTATATATGTATTTAAATAACTGTATTTAAATAACTGTATATGGTTTATTTTATTTTATTTATTTTCTGTTTTTATAGGAAAGAAATGTTTTTAATTATCTTTTTCTATCTGAGTAGCATGAATGAACTGCAGACTTTCATTTCATTACACAACCTTGTGTTGTATAATGATATTACATTTCCTTGAATAAAAAAAAATCAAGTAGCAGAGCTAATAGCTTTGTTTGTTTATGGCAGCACTCCTATTTAATTTGGTCAATTTAATGGATAAATCACAAGTTTTCATTTTTTAGTAGTAGTTACAAATTCCTAGAAAACATTTTCTAAGAATTTCTAACAGTCTGCCACTTCATTTTCCGCTTCACATCTTTTCATCAAACTCTATTCCCAGCCGGTTTTGCATTTCCGTCAGTTTGCATCTCCGTGAGAATTGACCTGCAGCTATATGGTTCACAGCTGAACGAGTGTGTGTGTGTGTGTGTGTGTGTGTGCGTCTGTACACATACTTTGACCTCTCCGTCAGTGCCTGCAGTAAACAGACGTGTCTGCGTGCCATCCAGGGCCATGGTGGAGATCTCGGCGTTGCCATGGCAACGGTGGAACTGCTTGACCTTTTGGCCTGTGTCAGCCAGCCAGCAGATCACAGAGGAGGCAGAGTCGCTGCTGACTACCTGCAAATAGAGAGAGAGGATATCAATCATCAAAAAGAGTTTGATCCTTTTTATGCGGGGAGAAAGGCAGCTTCCACTGATGTATCCTTTAATGACTCTCACATAGCCAGACCATTCTCCACGCTTCGTTACATTTTATTTCAGTGCTAAGCCACCACTGAAGAAAATATGCAACTGATGCAGCCGTCGAATGGGAATAAAAGCAGGGTGGGAAAAAATCTAAAGTGGATGCACTTTTTGAAAGGAGAGATTTTCATTTTAGATGCATTAACTATTTTGTTATTTGTGTGCTGTTTTTACACTGTGTGGAAAACTAATGATAGCTGTCTGTCATGGAGTGGGGCTAAGGGAACAAAACCTTCAGTAAAACATAATAATGACATAGAAGTTTAGAAAAAAGGTAGAAAGCAGTATTTCTCTGTGAAACTTCGGTTGAATTTGACTCGTTAAAGGGGACCTATGATGCTTATTTCCAGCTCTATACTCTCACTCTGAGACTCCACCAGAGTAGCTTTCCATGATTAACTCTTTAAAAACATCCTTATTGTATGTTAGTTCTGGCCCTTCATGTTGTCTGAAACAGAGTCCTGTTGGAAATATAGCCTTACTATATTTAGCCTACTACTGTTGTTAGTGGTTAGCAACTTTAGCCACTAACTGTGCCGCCATAGCCATCTTTATTAGGTAACCCTGTACTGGGTGCTCAGAGCACTGGGGTAGTATTGGTGTTAGTCCTGACCCTGAGCAGATAATTTAGACAGACTGAGTGGGTCCCTTCATGGCCGTGCTCAGCCGCACTCTGCATTTAGTAGATAACGTGTAAGCAAATCCTTGATAAGCTGAAGTCGACAGAAAAAAAGCAAAATAGGTCCCCTTTAATGTCTGAATTATACCTTAACTAATTGTAGCTCCAACAATACCATGACAGCATTCCCACACGTTTAATGAAGTCAACATATTAGGTGATAAACACAGCCTACAATGACAAAGTCTTTTGCATTTAATTGTTTGAAGAAACTATTGTAGAACTGACGAAACAATCTCAACTACTCAAGGTCCATTTAGTGGCTGTTCTGTAGCTTTTGATCAGATTACATGATCTTAATCAGCAGATGGATAAGAACGATGGACAAAAAGTCCATCAAGTGCTCAAAGAAAATGGAAATTTGAATGTAGAGCATATGATATGATTGAAAGCTCCAGAACAGCTACTAAATCAACAAGGTCTAAAGTGAACTTCCAACTATAGTAGAAATCATCAGTATCTGAGATTTCTGCTCAGTTAATACATTTAGCCCATACTACACATCCAGTTTGCAACATCTACTGTATACTGTCTGCCTATTGCTATATGTGTCTAAAGAATAACAAACTGGGAAAAAGTAAAAAAATACCTGCATACCTGTCTGAACAGACTATTATACAGCACACAGGTCACAGGGTGTTCGTGGCTGCTGGTCCTCTTCTCCTCCTTCATGGTTTCCAGCAGGAGAAGTAGGCTGTTGAAGGAAAGCAGGAGGAGCTGACGTTCCTCATGGAGGAGCAGGAGGGTGTCTGTGTCCTCCTGCGTCTTTGGGAAGACACCGGCCAGACGGTGAACACACAGCTGACTCGATACATCCCATAGACATAGAACCTGGAAAATGTACACAGGATTAGAAGCTATATAAATCACCACATGCATGCAAAGGGAAAAAAATGTAATAACTACATTACATGGATAATTATTATCACAAGACATCATCATAATTACAAAACAGATACAATAATTACCAAGAAGAATGGTTACTCTATAGAATGTTGGTGTGACTGACGCTGTTCCAAGAACTCTTCCAGAGGGAAGTGAGGTAAAGCTTTCAGAGTTTCTTGCAATGGCAGATGGTGTTTGAGCAGAAGGCAGATGGAACATAAATCACTTCTAAAATATTCATTATCTTCAGAAAAAACGATGCCAAACATGCAGAGTTTTACACAAGAAAAGGAAAAGAAGCACAAGCACCAACATCCTCTTTACATCAGAAAGAAGAAGGGTTTAAAGGAAATGTGGTCCTAATAGTGAGAAATGCTAGCTCTTATAATGGCAACAGTGTGAAACAGGCTACCAATCATCTGCACCACGGCCTGCTTCCTCTGCAGTAATTATAGCAAGGTATAACAATTAATATTACAATGATAGGGCTCTTTATCATTACATTATCCTAGCAGAGAGTTGCACACACACACACACACACACACACACAGATCTACACACACACGCTCCTACCTTATCTTTAGAGAAGCTGAGGAGTTGTTGCTTGGTCTGCATGAAGCAAACTGCGGTGACAGGGCTTGTATGACCACTGAAGACACAAACTGGTTCGGAGGTCACATAAGGGTTCCACAGCAAGACCTGATGATCCACACCTGCTGTAGCTGCAACCAACCAGAATGTACCAAATTAGCAAAAGTGCTAACTGCATTTAATTTTAGGATTTTAAACTATATTTACTCCCCCCACCCCCACAATCAATGTTCAATGAGGTATTGACAGTTTTGATGCCTCTTTATGCCTTTGTGTATGCATAGAAAATTATCATAAGGCATTTGGTTTGCATTGATTAAAGAGAATTGCTGGACCAACTTAAAAAAGCCGAGCAGAGTTCCTGAGTTTTGTTTACCAGCAGCTTGACAGGAAGGTTAGGCCCCGAAGTTAGCAACAACTCCAGTCTGGTGCTGTAAAGGGGTCTCCCCTCTGCTCTGCTACCACAGTCTGGAGGCTAAAGCATTTGTTAAAGTAATGTCACTCAGGACCCTAAAACATACCGCTGATGGAATGAAATAAGTGTTATTCATCTATACCTATAATATAAGTTTTTTTGACAGTGATTTGAAAAATAGCATATTTTAGTTTGATTTCTTTAGATATTAAAATGTGTTATTTTACTGAATATGTTAGGTAACTATTCCCCAGCCCTAGAGTATCATATGTTGTACAGGTTGAAAGGACCTCTAAGACAAAGTTTAGGCTAATATAAAAATGGACAAGTTGAGGATGAACAATTACTTTTACATCAGAGTATACAGTGGTCCCCACCTATCAGATTGAGTCCACGGTGGTGGTCCAAGTCCCACACACCCCTCTTTGTAAAGAACGAAGTGACTCGTAGAGTTCTGCTTTCCTTTTCCCTCCAGCTGATCACCATGCTGCTCTGCGGTCTGGTGCTGCATGATACAAAGGCTTCCAGTGAACCCAGGTAATGTACTGCAGCAAGAAAGAGTCAGAAAGTGAAAGTAAATTAGGTGTGACAGATACTGTAATTAGCTTTACTACATCTAGAAAACAGTGAGTAACACTGAGAAAATACAAGCCTGCTCATGATTCAAAGTTAATTTGAAACTGGATGTTAAGAATACAGCATACAAACAGATAATTAGGCAATTCAATTAGCTTTTGGTTTGTTTTTGGGAGGTTGCTGTTTACTGTGGTAGTATTATAATTGTGAATCCTTTTTTTTTTTAATGCATCAGCACTGCATCAGAGACTGGAGAGACGACTAGTTTCAAAAGTAGAACTTCAACTGATTTTTACTTATATCTTCTGAAAGTAAAGATCACTTACATTACATACAGCAAATTACTTTACTTTCTACTTTTTATTGTGTTTTTGTTGTGTCTATGGTTTGAGACATCCCAGGAAAGCCAATGTGTCTTGGCAGAAACATCTACATATCCTTTGGAGGACCGAAGAGAATGATTTCACATTTGTTTTAATTTTGTTGAAGGGCGTTTAACATAATAACTGATGAAAGACACTGGTTTTTAATTGGACATACATTTGTGTGTCATCTGCATAACAATGGCTGTGAATTTTGTGTTTATGTATGATATAGCCCATTGGCAGCATATATACACTTAATAAGAGGGGGCCAAGGATGGAGCCTTGAGAGACACCAGAGGTCAGAGGGGCCACAGAAGAGGACGCATCACACTCACTATCAAAAAAATTCGGTTTGATATTCAAGATCTGAACAAGCCTTAAGCAGTGTTTTAAATAATAATTTTAACAACAAATTTTAAAAAATATTTTCATCCAGAGAGTCAAGGCCAGGTGTCTTGAGAAGTGGGAGAGCTTTCCAAAGAATGGTGAGACAAACACTTAAAAATCTCATTCAGAAATCTGTCACACATAAGATGTAGAGAACACAATAAGGGCTTTAGTTTGGCAGTTGCGGCCTTTACAGTCCAAAATGAAAGAGCCTCAAAATGATTGAGCAAAGCAGAGGGCGCAATGTAGAAAGAACAATAGACTTCATTTAATAAAATGTTTATCTGCACAGATTTGAGCTTAACTTTTTCTGTACAAACTCATCTTAAGAGAAGAAACAAGAAAACAATCACAAATGAAGGCCATCGGCTTCCAAGCAGCCCCTCTGTGTGAAGCAATAATGCAGCAAAAGTTACCAGCAGAGGGAATAAATTAGTTTTAACTTCAACAAATTCAATGTACAACAACATTGCAACATATTTTGATGATGACACACTGTTCATTTTATTTCATTTCTTCCAATTAGATACTTCATCCTGCTGATACCAAAATGCTTTCACTGTGAGAACTCTGAAGGACATCCACTTTCTGAAATGGCTGTGCTAAATGTGCATTGACCGCAACCCTGCTGTATAATAAACCAACCAATCCACAGGCACTCAGCACAGCATAGAATTAGGCCGGTTTGATTTGCTCACTGGTATTACAGAAAATGTAATGGATCTTGCATCACCATCTATCTCAATTAACTATTTGATTGAGAACAGCTAAATTGGATGCCACACGTCTCTATTAGAGGCTGCTTAGCTTTCAAACACTGCACAAATAAGTGCGGGCTGCGAGATGGCATGTGACAGTCGTAGGTCAAAGATCGGCCGCATAGCTAGGGCAAATAATTATGTCTGATTACATTTCATACACCACATCTTTTCTCCATCCTGTGAATTAAAAGATCAGTGGATTTTCAGACAGCCTCGCATGACTCATCATTGATTAATGAGGCCTTCTCTCTTTCACTGACACACGCAAATCATAAATCAAAACTACTTGTGATGCAGACCCAGATACAAAACATCTGCTTTAGCCAGTGTTGTATGTAACGTCATACTTATTGCTCTGAGTTAAGAATTTAAAGAGCAACAGCAAGAGTCACTTTATATCGACATCAAAGCAAACCTCTTTTGTTCTGCAACAAATCGCTGCACATTTTGGGAGATTTTACCTACACGCTGACGTACATTCTTAATGTTCTTTTTCCTTTCTTTGATCATAACATTATATGGATATGTTAATGCTTTTCTCTCACACAGACGCACACTTCCCACAGCACTCCTTCCTTGTCCTTACGGGTCTGTGTCCATCCCAATTTCCTCCTAATTTCCTCTCAATTTTCCTCTCTGTTCCACCACTCTACCCCCTTCTCTCCCTCCCCCCTACTCCTTCCTCTCTCTGGTGGCCCGTGAGCCCGAAGGTTTGGAGGTCTGCATAACCAGCCATGTCTAATGGTACACAGCCCACTCATACTGCAGGGTGGGCAACATCAAAAGAACAGCACCAGCACCCCAGAGGTATGCAAACACACATATACAGTCACACAAGCTCCCTCCTTTCCTCTCTCACACTCAAAACACTACACACACACACACACACACACACACACACACACACACACACACACACACACACACACACACACACACACACACACACACACACACACACAGCAAACCCTAATATACACTCTCTCTCTTGTTGTTTCACATGCACACACAGCCGGCAGAATTTCAATTAACCGGTGCTTTTAATGTTTTGGCATTGTCTCCTCTGTTTGCCCCTTTTTTGTTTTCCCATTTGTTGTGCTTATTTATATGTCTTTTATTCTTGTTTCCCCCCTTTAATCGGGATCTCCCCTTTTAGCCAAGCTACTCTCAGAGTGCTGCCTCTGCTGAATCATTATCAAACAGCCCAGTGACTCTTCAGAGGGGCTCTATACGAATGACGCAATCGAGACACAACTAAGCGACCTCTTTGTTACCCAGGCTGAGCTGAAGTGGAGAGTCTCAGGAGGCCAGACCTCCAGCCTATGACTCTATGCCAATAGTCAAAAGTCTGGCTATGCAAGACTATAAAGTGGATGACTAAGGACTCACTGTGTGTCAGTGTGTGTGCATCAGTGACAGAGACACACCCAAGCATTTCCATGGTGTTGCATAAGCTGTTATTATGGTGATACTGAAAAAGTGAGCAAGCAAGCACAAACAGTGGCTCTCATCCCAGCTGTCAAGGTAAAGGTGTGTGTGTGTGTGTGTGTGTGTGTGTGTGTGTGTGTGTGTGTGTGCGCGTGTGTGTGTGCGTGTGTGTGTGTGGGTATCCCTGACACCTCGCAGTCAGTTTTTTGTTTTCTTTGTTGTCATTTGAGCTGCTGATTATGTAGCCTTGCTTTCATTCTGTCCGACTAATAAAAACTATTTTTGACCTGAGGCCCCAGGTGTATGCAGTCGGTTTCAGGATTTGGGGTTAGCTAATAGTGATTTCAAATGACTGGAATCAGGGCAATTTGTTTATTTGATCATAACAGTTTTTCTGATATGTTGGCATGTTGGAACTATTGCAAGCTCTTTTTGCTGGCCCCTTCATTTACATACAATGTGAAATAGTAGAAGTCTGGGTTGAGACAGGACAATAAAGAGGTAAACAAAGACATGTTTGTGTGCATTTGTACTATGGTTTGTATCTATGTCTCTGTCTCATAACAGCATCTAAAAATTTTACTTTTGTTATGTGTGCATGTGTTTCCTACCTTTTCTTACCCAGGCTGGCGTGTGTGCTTGATGTGTCACAGTGTAACAGGAGCGATGCTTGCCTTTGACCAGCTCATCCCATAAGATGATGTCTGCTGAATCTGAGTCCGTCCTCAGACTCAGTCTCTCAAACAGAGAGATATGAGCTGAGGTAAAATATAAGCCACTGACCTGAGATAAGACGCACACACAGACACACAAACGGTTATGGAGCAATTGGCAAATGATGAAGGCTCCTGATAATGTTCTGCCTCCTTCCTTCTTCTTCCTATTCTTCTTTCCATTTACCTGTCCTCCAATGTCTCCTATTGTGAGGACGGCCTGTTCCGAGTGAGAGGGATCCACCCAGTAGTCAAGACACCAGGGAGTAAACTTCAAACCCTAGAGAAGATAAGAAGTGGTGTCTACAATGTTATATCTACACTTTCCTCAGGTTATATCATATATATAGTGTAGATTAAGAGAAAAACATTAGGGGGAAAAAATTTAAAAAATTTTCTTTTTAGAGGATTACAGCTGTTACCTGGAGTTTATACTTGCAGCTGAAGTCTTGTTTGGACAGAATGTCATAAAAACACACCTCCTTACTTGTGAAAGACACTGCTATCTGAGAGAGAGGAAAAATGAGCAAAAATCTGTAGATTGAAGTAGTGCTAATTACATGCATTCATCAATATTTGATGGTGTTATTACTGAAGAATAAATGTTTATATTCTGAACATTATGCAATAGTCTCATGTCTGCAATGCCATTAACCAAAATCGCTAATCAATAATTAATTGATTGAGTGAAATGCTTGTTTACCTCTGTGCAGTACAATATCTGCCCCAATAACCGAGACTATATATCAATAATTAATTTCTATATTAACATTTGTTCAGTTGTGTAAACTATGCTACAAGACTCCAGACGGTGGCAACATAACCGGGCCACCAATCAATCATTTGACTGACTGATCAATTGTTAATCATGCCATGTTCTAAAAGTGAAAGTCACCTTGTGTACATTGTGCAGCAGCACCATGTCAGTGACCCAGAGGTCTTTGGGTGTGACCGTACTGTTTTGCAGTCGATGTGTGTGCAGAAGGGACATATCCTCTCCATTCCGCAGCCCCACAGTTCCTCCTTTACTCACGGTCAGATACTGACCTGAACTCTGCAGGTGCAACACCTGGGAAGACCAGAGGACATTACAAAACAACAACACTTAATCTGGACAAATATACGGATTGGGCAAAGTCACAGAAAGACTCTCCACTTACTTCATAGAGTTTAAAACTGACCTTCATAATAGCCTCAAAGCTCTTTGTGATGCATTTGTAACATTTTAATGGGAAGTTAATTAGTAAAATGGAGTCTGCAGCCTCCATTTCATTTTAAAGTATTTCCTTTCCGTTCCTGCTAATCTTCAACCATAAAACTACACTAGAATAACTCCATTATACTAAATCTTCCTCTTGTTGGATGCAAGTGAGTACAAGTGAGTAAGGCACGTGCATCTGTGTGCTGAAACCAATAAAACAAAAAGGATTAATGAATGATGCCATTTTATTGGCTAAGCTACAAAATAAAAAAAACTGAGGGCTGAAGAAGAAAAGGTTCAGCTGACTGTGTCTGATGAGAAAGACACTGAATATCTTTAATGAAAGAAAGGTTTCTTCATATTTATAGAACAGAGGTCAGGACAACTACTGTAATTAATTACTGCAGACTGGGTCACTTTCCCACAGCCGACTGGAGGCTTTGTTGGATCTCTCAGATGTATTTATCGCTTATTATTCTAATTACCTATTTATCTACAGCTCATGAGTCACTGGTTTGATGACTTTTTTCCCACATATGTACCAAATGGAGCACTTACATTTTTGCCAGTCCGTGAGCTGCTCTATATTGCTTTAAAAACTCAAGATATAGCTACTGCATCAGGACTTTATGTAAGGGATAATGTCCATTATGAGATATTAACAGACGATCTGGAGGACAGAACCGTCCGACGTGCAGCACTGCGTACAGTTGACAAACGGTTAATATAATGTGACACTATGTTTAACAACAAGACCAGCTAGCTATCAGCCATTTCATTGTCCCCAAATACAATATCAGATTCTCAAAAACGATAAGCAATGTGTACTGACGGCTGCAGCCTGTAGTAGTGAGCTGAATAGTGGACGGGATGTGAATATTGGAGATACAAAGTATCAGTAAGTTCAGAGGGGCAGTGGAGGGGCTTGTGTGTTCCAGTTTCAATCCTGTGGTGTTCAGAGGATGAGCCACAGGAGGACTTTACTCAGTGTAGTGAGATATATTTATAAGATATTTAACTAGATTTTGTTTTCATTCAATTCATTTCATCGCATTAATTTAGAACATTAAACAGTTTTCACTGGAACTATTTAGTAGATGTCCTACAGCAGGTATTAATGGACACCCGGCAGCCAATCAGAACCGAGTATTCACCCAGAACATGGTATGATTTAATTACTCCAGGGTTAAAGCAGCCTTCATTGATATTTTGAACCCCTGGGGGCAGAGGAACAAGTTCTGAACACTACATTAACATACACCGATCAGCCATCCTCGGACCACCTTTGATAGGTACTGATCACTTCAGACCGGGAACTCCCAACAAGAGCTGCAGGTTTGGAGATGCTCTGACCCAGTCGTCTAGCCATCACAATGTGGTCCTTTTCAAAGTTGCTCAGATCCTCACGCTGCTCATTTTTCCTGCTTCTTCGGAAAAAGCCAAATATATCCCACCCACTGACAGGTCCCATAATAACCAGATAATCAGTGTTATTCACTTAACTCACCACACAGTCAGTGGTCATAAGGTTATGGCTGATCGGTGTATAATGACCTTTTAAAGCTGTCGTGGCATTTTAGCAAAATGTTTCCATTTTTAGCGGACACAACTGTTTTTAATATAGTCCAATATTCACTCTACTTTCAGTTCTGTTTTGGTCCCTACCAACTCCTGAGGGAAGTATGTGGCACTTTAGATGCTAGGAACTCTTCTATGTTCACTTTGTCAGTGTTTGGTGCTGGGAAGGCAGCGTTATTACTGCAGAGACTGAACCAAAACACAAAAGTAGTGGGCCAAAAAAAACAAAACAATCAACTAAAAGATGCACTGCAACCGCACTGTCGTGTGACCCCATTTTCTATATAAAAATATGGATTAGTGCAGCTAGTGCAACACATTTTCTATCTTGTCTACACTGCTTATGTCATGCCACACTTTACTGAACAGTGTTTTCCAGACAGAAATTAGAGTCTTCTGAGTGACATTAGTCTGTCTGCCTTTTTAAGACTGATCTAAGCTGAAGGGGTCAAAACCTTCCAGCCATTTGGAAAACAACTTACACAACATACTGACATTTTGACATTCTCAGGATTGAAAGATTAAAGTGGTGAGCCATCACTTTAACCACAGCAGCAGGCACTTTATACCGGCTGCTTCATTTACATATTAATTGATAGATGTTAAACTTAAAAGAGTCCAGAGCCATTTATCTCAAAAGAGGTGTGCCATTTTGATGAGCAAGACCCTAATACTTTCGAACTTCTCCTTCGCACAATGTTTAATAATGCGGAATTCCATCCAGTCAGCACAGTTTTGGATTCTCCAGTCAGTCAATGTCAAAATGTTTTTCAGATAACATGCTGCAATAGCTCACGTTTAGAATGGGAAACATGTTCTAACCCTCATAACAAACTCTCTTTCTCTGAAGAGCTCACTGGTTCTTTCACCTTTTTAACTGGGTCTCGGTGTGGACAGGTCAAAGTGCGCGGTGGCTTCCAGCAAGGCACACTACTGGTTCTGGTGTTCTTTACTTTATCAGAAAGCTCCAGTAGCAGAAAGGAACACAGGCCTGGCCAGTCAACACGTCCTTCTTCCTTCACAGCTTCGATGTCCAGAAGGAGGCCACGGTGCTCCTGAGTGACAACCACGCTGTCAAACAGGAGGCCGTATTCCTCCTTGGAGCCATGGCCAACTGATGACCAAGCCAGATGGATAAATTCGGTTCTGGACAAGGAGCGAGATGCTCCAGAGGAGGGGTCCTGTATCAAGATCAACAGGGGAACATTGCACAGTGTCTGCACATTTCTTATGAGACCTAGAAGTGTGGCGCTATGGGACGCTGTTAAACAAAGAGATATAGTTTACATTCCAACACTCTTCTTGACGTTCCCCATGTGGATTAAAGGTGTTGTAATATGAGTGATTATTAAACTGACTAAAAAAAACAGACAAACACTCACCAGGAAAAGATCCTGTAGCTTTCTATAGTCCTCTGTGTTCATCCTGCTCTCAAGCTGTGCCACCTCCATCCTTGTTCCCATGGTTACACCTCAGACCTGTCAATCAATCACCAACAAACCAGACAAGGTCAGGAAGGTAAAGCATGTATATGCGAGTCTGCATGAAGACTCGTAGTCAAATAACACATTCCCCGCATTTCGAGGTGTTACATGAGGAAACAAGATGTTCCCAGCTCCAGTAATCCCTTAGTAACCTTCTATATCTGTTTCACAGCGTGTTGTCATGTCACCATAATCATACAGCAGAGTCACAGCAGTAGCGGACTTCCTTTGTTGGCTCTTTTCAATCTATCCAAACATGTCTGTGTTGAATGGTGTGCAAAGGTCTTTCATTTAGAACAGAAATTTCCCTCCGGCTCAGTGGCTTTCAAAGGTGGGTGAATAGGTCCCCAAATTATGCCTCAGAAATGGTTTGCGGAGGTAAAGCATGTCAAGTCTCTGTTATGTCAGGTAATGTGGAATAAAATACTGAAGTCAGGTCAATGAGCAGCATGAATAATAGTATGCATAAAAGGTAAGAGTTGTTCAATTAGCCTGTGTGGTGATTAAAAAGGATGTTTGAGGTCTAAGAGAGAAATGTGAGATGATGAAAAAGTTTCATTTTAACATTTTACAAAACACCACAAAGGGCAGAGGAGGACGGCAAACACTCTCAGTTTCATTTTTAGCCCGACATAAACGTTTATGAGACAAATTCATTGGAAGTGGCATCAAACTGAGTAGAGATTTAGATGACAGGGTGCGTAATGAAAGAAAACAAATCAATGCTTAGCTGAAGCTATTTCTTATCTTTTTTATAATGGTGATTAACTGCAGCAGGATCCTGATAGTTGATGATAGTTTATCCACCTCTTTATTTACATCACTGACAACAACTAGCAGACTGCAACAGATAGGTTTATGCTACAGTAATCAATGGAAAAGAATCATTCTTTTGTTTTGTTTATGAGTGTGATAACTTTTAATCAACTACGTCCTGACGTGTTCTGCGGCAAAGCAGCTGGCATCAGTCTTTATGAGACTACAAAGACACAGTTCCATAAAATGAACACAAAAGGAGAAGCTCATATGTTGAGCTGATGCACTCTACATATTGCTGCTTGAACAAACATAAAACACATCTAACATACATCAGTCCCACTAACAGTCATTTACTGTAGGGAACTGATTTCAATCATGCACATTTGACAAAATAACAAAAATACAAATTCACCTACCTGGGTTGCCTCTCTTCTTCCTAGATGGCTGCTTCAGGTCCAGTCAACTAACTCGAAACTGTCACTGCTGGATTTCTATCTGGGGTTTATTAAAGTTGTACAGAGTATCATCCACTGCAGTCAAACTGTCCAAAAAGCCATCTCAGAACCAGGCTGTAACTGCATAATGACAGGCTCTTGGCCCGGCAACATCACTGTCAAGTTAGCGGTACCTTTCCAGGAAAGCCAGTGTGTACACACACTTCAGTCAAGCACGTTTTTAATCATGAAGTCCATACAGTAGAGCTGAACACACAGTGTCTCGGTTAATAACAAATTCAAACTTACCAAGACGACCAATTTCATCTTCTCAGTCCACAATGGGTGTCCAGAGTAAACAGGCCCAGAGTCCCCCATGCTCTTAGGGTGTTGAAACACCATTTTTAAATGTATGACATTTCAAACAAATCCTCAGCCTCTGGCTGGTCTGTCTTGGCCTTGGCTGGGTTTTGTCCGAGGGAGATCCAGCTGATTCCAGGAGCCCCGAGCTTTGTGTAAGCCAGCAATGTCTGAGAGGCAATCAACGCTAACAGCCCTGGCTGCAGCACACCCCCCCAGAGAGAGTTAACTAACTGCCCCCAGTAGCCCAGACAGTGGCAGAGGCCACACACACACACACACACACACACACACACACACACACACACACACACACACACACACACACACACACACACACACACACACACACACACACACACACACACACACACACACACACACACACACACACACACACACACACACACACACAAAATACTTTCCTTTTATTATCCCTCACTCTCAAAGACTAGGCTAAGTTTCCTGGCAACCAAGTGCTCAAAAAGAGTTGTGTTTGTGAGTGCAGGCGCTATCGTCTGTATGTAACACAATGTGCGTGTTACTTCTATTCACAGATTAGGCACCGGAGAGAAAATAATCTGTGTGAGGTACAATTACCCCTCTAAACACACACACCATGGCTACAGCAACACAATTCACAAAAACATTAGTATTCTACTGCCACTCATAAAAGTGTCCAAGTACTGAAACAACTTTAAAAAGTACTGACGTGAACCTGGACCTCAACAAAAATACAAAACACACACAAGCAGAGCTTTATACTGCCATTCAAATGCCTCTGAGAGGACTTCCTGTGGGTCACTAGCTGTACACAGACACAGACACACACACACACACAGACACACAGCAAAAGAAAAAAAAAGTCTCTTAGGGATTTGTTACACTGAGACAAATAGATTCCCTGTATGACTGTAAGCATGAATGCACACAAAAGCTATACATCTAACACAGATATTATCATTCTCCTCCTTCCCTGCTGCTTCAGTGACCACAACCAATCCCTGTATGTGACTTAATGGTCTGGAATAACTTGAATTAGCTGATTACAGCGGTCGTCAACAGTGACAGGATCAGAAAATTAGGTCTCAGCAATTTCAATAATAAAGCTTTAAAAATTAACACTATCACAATTGGATTACAGTGGTGCGTGTAGGAGCCAGTACAGCGCCCAAAATAGCCCACCACAAATCCACCATGGAAAATCCACTATTATACAGGGAGAAGAATGAAGTTGCTGGAATGGGGAAAAAATTGGTACGGATCTTAGTACTGGGAGGAAAGAGGTGCAGGCGGAGAAAGAGAATGCAAGGGCAACTGAGCAGAAATGAAGCACTTTCATACAACAATGCAAATCTGAAGAGAGACCCACTTTTGAAAATCTTTCTCAGATGACAGAACTCTTTTGCAATAAAATAAAGTGCATTTTTAACACATTCCTCATGACTTGTTTAAGAGTTCTTGAGGATTTTATTTCAACTCTATTTTATATATATATATATATATATATATATATATATATATATATATATTGTATTTGCATTTGGTTCAAGGAATATTGTCAGGGACGTTGCAATTAAAGTACAGGAAACGATACATTCATGGTCAAATACATCTGTACATTTGAAATCTTGGCCTACTTAAAATACTTCATCAGATATTTCACTATCCGTATAGGTTTGTGTTGATCCATTTATTCATTTGTCTGTAAATCTAGTAGTTGAAAGAACCATCCACTGTGTCTCTGTGTTTGTCAGAATTGTTGTAATAAAATTCTGTAACTTCTTTTCGTCTTCGTCTGCTGCTTGTGGGAATGACCTTCAGCTGCTGTGTGGTTTTGAACGTGGACTCACAAGCCAACAAGTTTGTGAGCACTAGGTTGTGCACACAATCTGCAGTCTAAAACAAAGGATTTCCTCATTGATGTTAAGTATCTGACAATGATAAACAGAAGCTTACCATTGACTTTGGTGGATTTTTGAATAACTGATTAAATAATCTCTGATTAAATACTGTGATAGCTTTTCTAGAAATATGTCAGTGTGATTATATATGCACATTCACATGGGGGGAAAAAGAAAATTTCACCAACACACAGTAAAATGTCAGTTTCACAGTGGATTTCCTTTTTTCTAAAAAGGTGCGGTAGTTCCCAACCTAACACATTTGAGAATAAAACAGAAACAGTAAACACTAAATTGTTTTTTTTTTTTTTTAAATCAATTATATCTTTCTGTCTGAAAAACCCTCTAAATTAAAAAACCAGAGCAGGAAAAATTCACTCTGGTTGAACTGCTCACCCCTACGTCCATTACCTGTTAGGAGTATGTATATATGCACATCCCCAATACTTACACTTATCCCAAATAACATTGGATTGGATCATTACCTTAAGATTTTGCATCTTGATCAGCTATCATGTAAAAAAGCCATGTGGTCTTTTATAACGTGAACTATTGTTTGTAGACAGTAAATGTGAGACATATACTTCTGTAACTAAAGTACAAAGAAAGACAGCACAGCTGGTGAGTTACTGCTCACCTGGATGGTGATGGTTTATGATGTACTGGGTGAAGGAGTACAGGACAAAGAAAGCAGACAGTCTCCATTTCAAATTCCTGAACATTTCTCCAGACCTTGATTTCCTGACAGGATTTGAACATATCTGATTTAAGTTGAATATAATGCATGCTGATAGTGGCAGGATATTAGTGCAAAGTGTGAGATACCACCATATAGATCAAGATTATGTCTTACAATAGAAAAAAAACGACAATAAAAGTCAGAGTACAGACATGTGGGAATGTATTTTAAAAACTGAATGCTGCTTCTTTTCATTGTACTTTCTTTTAGACTTGTGCAATCACCAAACTTTTAAGGACATTGGAAATAATCACATTTTTCCTAAACTTCTTCAGAACTACACGGTCCTGAACAGAGAGGGAAATGTATAAAGGAATGAAGAAATATTGACTTAAGAATCTGATAAAAGAACAACATAAAAGAGAGTTAAAAATCCCTGGCAATTACTGTCAACATGATTTGCTTTGAACCTCAAACTACCTGATCTCCCGTCAAAGCCACAGATTTATAAATTATACACCCAAAAATAATAAAATGTCTTTACAAATTACAAAGCCTCATATCACCTATTCTCTAATAAAAAAATATCTGCTTGTGTGTGTGTGTGTGTGTGTGTGTGTGTGTGTGTGTGTGTGTGTGTGTGTGTGTGTGTGTGTGTGTGTGTGTGTGTGTGTGTCTTCTCAGGCTGCTACACCACGGTCTTGAAGGCCTCCAAGATCATGTTGGTTTGGTGGGTGAGCCGGTTGGCGCTCACAAACACGTTTATCGCTCTGGAAACAACCGTGACAGAGACACAAGGACACATATGTCAATCAAACAGCACAGAAACCATGGCAACAATATTAGGATTGATCCGGGAAACACTTTGATCTGGCTGGAATGGAGAATGTCAGGCTTCAGAGAATACAAGCCAGCATGAATCCACAGGAAATGGGTCAAGGGAATTATTCAGCAATGGTGGATTTGATAGAAGCGAGTCTGTGATCAAACGACAACCATTTACATGGCGATGACAGTGTGTGTGTGTGTGTGTGTGTGTGTGTGTGTGTGTGTGTGTGTGCGTGCATAAATGTGTGTGTGTGTGTATGCGTGCTGGCATGTGCATGTACAACTATTAAATGTGTTGGTCGCTGTGTGTGCACGTGAAAAAGAGAAGGCTGAACAAGTGAGTGAGAAGACAGAAACGGAAGAAAAACAGACAGAAAAAAGTCCAAAAAACAGAGAATAAACTAGAAACAGTGTCATACTTTCCGTCTTTGAAGTAGGTTTTGAGAGTGTCACTGAAGCTCTTCGAGTATTTCACAAACTCTTTCTTCTGCTTTTCCAGTGCCTAACCAATAAATACAGACAGCCTTTCAGCTCCACTTATTTCACAGCAACTGCGTTTGTGTGTGTGCATTTTTTCTTCTTTATGTATCTACTTACCCGTCTATTCTGAGATTTAAACTGGTATTTCCTGAAGACGGCATTAACCGTGTCTAGCAGCTCCTTGATGGCACTGGCAATGTCTCTGTGGATGGCGTACACAAACAAGTTCATGTTACAAAAAACAATATCTCAAAATCTGCCTGTTTTTATCAGGCAGTTATACCCTGGAACTACAGTTCTTTAATCCAACTCCTTGTCTCCCTTTCTTTCTCTTTTCCCACAAACATGCTTTCACCTTCAACTTTTTCTCCCCTCGTATGCACTTCAAATCTGCCGTTACATAACTTTAATTTTTTAGCATTCCTTTTGAATTGATTTTATTTCTAAGCCCTCCGCTGGGTAAGTAACTTAAGCAGTGAGTCACTAAGAGTATTGAATTCGATCAAAATAATGGCAAAGTGGGCCAAGAAAATGAAACGTCTTTCACTTTCTCTCTTTAGTGTGCGAGCATGCGTGTGTGTGTGTGTGTGTGTGTGTGTGTGTGTGTGTGTGTGAGAGAATATAGTGCAGTGGACAGGAATAAGAAATGGCATATGGCATGCAGGAACATTCCAGTTTTGTTATCACTTTTCCAGGAAATGTCAGATCAGCACCTACAGTGTGTATGTTTGCGTTGCATGTTTTAATTATTTCATTTCTAAACATATATCATGACATCGTAGCCAGTTCCATTGGCTGATGAAGATTATTATTATTTTGTAACACATAGTTTTATCAAAACAGATATTCGTAAGTCCAACTTTCTCAGATACAGCTACACTGGAAAGTACCACTTCAGTATTGAGAAAAGAAGATCCTGCACATTGTTCAGCATCTATCAATCATGCGTTGAGGTCCCTCTGGACTTCAAGAGCATTTTAAATTCCCCTTCCACTCAGAAATATGTTTTTCTTCTTCTTCCTACAGCTGGATGTTTGAGCGTCACTGTGCGGGATGATGTATGAGCAGAGTTTGACACCAGAAGGATGTTTTCACATTCATCTGCTGAAAGTGGAAAAGTTTCTCTGTGCTCACTGAAAATCAGATTTTTAAGGGGCGGGGCCTGAGAGCATGATTTGTGACATCACAAACAATTTGAAAGTCAGTCCTAGTCCAGTATGTAACTTAAACAACTGTGATATAGAAACTTGAAGCTGCCAGTGCGCAAACACTGAGGCAGGAAAACTTCAGAAATGAACATAATTAGCATATTCATAGATTCTTGTATTATTAATGAGGTAGAAGGAGTAGATGTCTTTTTAAGGATTTTAATGTGGAAATTATCTTTTGTTATGTAAAACACACATTATTGTCTCGAGCAAACTATTTGTATGTCTTGATACATGTCTGGAGGGGATCTTTAAACCATTCTACACTGATCTTAAACAGATAACGCTCCACCCATTGTGAGTGCACAGGTGTGGGAGTGTTTCTCAATAATTGACAGCGACATGTGGTCAGTCAGTCACATTATATTCCACATGTAAGAAAAACAAAAGAAAGACAGGAACAAGTGAGACATCACGACCAATAAGTCTATTTACAATAAAGATATTTACAGAAATTGCATCTCTGGTGAATGCATACATTGTCCTTGTAGTGTTCATAATGCATTCAAAGTTGTGTAACCCTACGCACTACCAGTATTTTTTATAGTGTACCATAAGTAGGGTCTATAAAATCCCGAAACTCCTTAGGGCATGACATGGCACGGTAATGCTAATTAGTTTTGGGATTTTATAGACTATTACTTATGGTACACTCAAGATACAAGTAGTGCAAATGATTATGCAACTTTGACTGAGTTATGACAGCTGCATGGCCAATGTTTGCATTCCTCGGAGATGCTATTTCTGTAAATATTCTTGTGAATTGACTTAATTATGCGTCTTGGTGTTTATTTTCTTGTTCTTGTTTGTGTGGAATATACAGTAACGTGACAGATCGTATACGTGTCGCTGTAAATTATTGAGAGACACACCCACAAGAGAATAAGGGCACAGCCACACATACACAAAATTAACATTGTTGAACATCTGCCTCCAACTCACTACCACTCAATGTTTAGCTTCACTTCTGGCAGTAAAGCAGATTTGCATCTCCGCCTTGTGTGAAGTTAAACACTGGAGAACTTTGACTGTCGCAGCCTCAACCAACAGCAAATACGTGTGTGTAGTTGAGCCCTAAAATGGAATACAAACCAGCACACACTGATTTCACTTCATCTTGGAACATTTTCTATCTGACATAAATAATTATCTTTACATATAAATTATTTTACCATTCCTACTGACCAGTTTTAGACCAAATATTAAACAAATTCCATTGAATGTCAAACAGCCTTTGTAAATATGCAAATAGATTAATTTGAACAGAATTATTAACTGCACTGAGTCTTTCTTCGGGCATTTTGCTCATTCATATTGCACACAAACGCTAACTGAAGGTATTGTAGTAATACAGAAACATATCTCAGGTTTCAGCTTGTAGACTGGAGCTTTTAAGGTGTGTTAAGACAGAGTGATAAGAGAATTTTCACCCTGTATAATTAGTATAAACAGGACCACTCAACTGTTTGTGCAGTCTGTGTTTATTCACCCTAAAAGGCCAATGATGTACCAACAATATAGACATTAGCTCTAGCTAGCAACATATGCACTAATCTCAAGTGTGTGTGTGTGTGTGTGTGTGTGTGTGTGTGTGTGTGTGTGTGTGTGTGTGTGTGTGTGTGTGTCAACTCAGATTGACCTCAAAACTCCCCCGCAACTACTGAAAGATTTTCAACTCGTGCCGACTCATCGTCTTTGTTTCCTTACGCTGCATAGAGCGAATTTGCATCTATTCACAGCCACTCATCTCTTTGACTTTACATTCAATAGCGCCTCATCCAAAATTGGCTACAAAAAAGATTTTTTTATTGTGTTTATGCAATGAGGGTCTTAATCATAAAGACACGCACAGAATCAAAGCTTTAGTCTTTGTACCAAATAATTAACTAGAAAAGAAAAATATTTTAAATGGCTAAAAGTCCTCTTAAGACATTTAACATTTTCTAGCAATCTATTTAATTAACACAAGACATTAGACTGAGACTTTCTATAGAGTTAAACCTGATGTATATTGCACACACATACAGTCACACACTGAGCTGTCTTACTTGATGGTCTGTAGGAAGCCTACTCTGTCATTGATCTCATCTGGTATGGTGCTGAGGATGTGTTTCAGAGCTCGGGCCCTCTCGTTCAGCTCCTGGAACTCTGGCTCTCGCCTGTCAATCATGAACTCTGAAAACGCCAAGAGGGAGAGAAACGTAGAGATATTGAAACTCCTCAGTGATGGTCACGGTAACATACATGCAAGTACATACAGTGGACACTGAAATGAAGCAATTAATACTGGTGGCAAGTGTGAAAAACACATCTATATTGCAAATGTATGTGCATTGTTTAGTTTAAGTGAAGGCAGGATTAAGGTAGAATTTGGGCTGTTCCATGCAGGAGGTAGGTTTAAAATTTGTCTAAAGTGTGTGTGTGTGTGTGTGTGTGTGTGTGTGTGTGTGTGTGTGTGTGTGTGTGTATGTGTGTGTGAATTCATTACTGCCATCAATCACTGTACACGGCACAAGGAATTCAATTATAGACAGAAAGGAATATTTGAGTACAGGGAGAGCAGTGGATTTATGGAGAAACAGCTCCCCCCAGTGGATAAGTTGGCTAATGTAATACGGGCGAGGCATCACAGAAACCGAAGCCAGATTGGTAATCATCCAGCTTGCTGAAGTGTCCTTGAGCAGCAGTGTTGGGCACATCCCCCTTCTGGAGGGCAGCGGTTTAAAAATCCTCTATAGTACACAAAATGAGATATGTAAACTGCGGCCTTTCTCATACTACTTTAAATCTCACCATGGTACCGTCGTATAGTGGGCCTATATGAGATATCATATTTCACCCTCCTTCTCTCTTTGCGTTCACCATTCGCCAAGCATCCTACCTTCCACATCGTCTGCAGCCATGCGAAGTAGAGCCTCATTATAGTTGACTTTTAAGTTCTTCTTCTCCAGTATTTTCATAATAATGTTCTGAGTCAGACCCGGGTTCTCCTTCTCTGCCTTGAAACACACAAACATACAGTTACACTGACAGTAACAGCAGTCAGCCTTGGTCTTCTGTGGCACTAAAACTGATCAAATCTACAAATCAACACAGTGAAATGATTACAAAAGTAAAGGTAATGGCACAGTTATAAGAAAAATAGCAGTTCATCTCATGAAACGTACACAAACCAACAAAAGGAAACTTTTTTTTTTTTTACCTTTTCGAAAGCTGTTCTCAAGGTCTGCGCTGCTGATAAGTCGACTTTCTCCAACTGCAAGTTACAATACACAGACACAAACATAAGCCAGCAGCACAAACACACAGCTTAGCTCTTATCGTGGCCTCTCTTCCGTCCTGAAATGTAATTCTGCATACCGCACACACAAACCAGGCATCCTGCAATATCAAAGGAGGACGCTTTGTTATTGTACTGTGAACAGCGTGTGTTCAGTTCTATCATCTGTATTCTCCATCTACTCTTCAGGAGTATTGAAGTCTATTCCATTCCTCTGGGCTGATGGAATAGCTCGTCGCTACGTCAAACTATGAGCTCTGTCTGTCAATTTACACGTCGTGTACTCACACGTGTGCGGTTTTAAAATAAAGTGTCTAATCAATTTCCTATCAAGCTTCGCCCGGTCCCAGCAATCAGGTTTGAGATGAGCTTGACACGATGCCTTAGGCTATACAATAGTTTGCAGTTCAAACTTCGCCGTTTTATGTCTTTACTGGATATTGGACGGACAAGAAATGAGAGGCGAGAGAGGAATGATGAATGATGCAGTGTATACATGGTCAGCAGCACAAACTCATAGGACTCCAGGGCAACCATAAAAAAGATGTCATATCTATAGTGTAGTGTGTAGTGTAGTCTTTCAAACACAAAACCTCTGTCTTTTGTGGTACAATATGAAATAATCCAGCTCCATATGAGTTACCCTATATGCATAAAGCATAGATGAAAGTTTTGAACTGTTTTCAGTACAAAGTGGTATGTAATGTGTTTGATAAGTGAGGTCAATTGTTTTGTTTTCAAGTACGTGCTGCCAATTAAAATTCAACCCTGGGCGCTTTACATCATATCATCCCCTCTCTCTCCTCTGCTTTTCCTGTCCACATCTCCAGCTGTTACTGTCTAATGAAGCATACACATACAAAAAACGTATTACGTTTTTGTGGTGCTAGACAAAAAGTCATAGGGTGACCAAAGTTGTTTTTATTATCTAGGGTCAATGAATGTGTGTACATAAATTCATGGCAGTCCATCCAATAGATGCTGAGATATTACAGCCTGGACCAACGTAGTGGACCGGCGCACCAACATTTCCATCCCGAGAGCCATGTTAACAAGATTAAAAACATTAACTCTTAAGAGCGGAAAATATGCAGAGCACAGACCTTAAATAAACATACAAAACATAAAGATCATCTCAGCTTGTATGACTGTGAAAAAACATAACACACAAGTGCACGTGTATGTATACATAAGGATGCATCATGTAGACACAAATACCTGCCCACATATTATCAGCAGAATAGCACTTATCCTTGGCATGTCTTCCTTGTTAATTTAACATTAACAGGGAATATTCAACACTGTTTCTTCCGTTTCCTCATTTCTATTCTGCTACACCATAAACCTTTCAACCTTTGCACAGAAGCCCATTCACAATTAACCTCCACCAGTATTTTCATTAAACACATTATATATATATATATTTTGAATATTTACCACAAGTCTTATCCACATTTCCTTCTCATGCAACAAACCCTGGCCTTGTTTATTACATTTTTCCCTTGTGTTTCGTTTTTACTTCGACTGAAACCCTACATTCTTTACCTGGTTAAAGACAGGATACATCACATTGTAGAGAGCCATAGAGCCTGTTAAGGCAGTGTCAGCTTCATTCTTCATGTCTTCCATGGTCATCCTTGACCAATCAATGGCTCTTTGTGTTTGTGCTTGTCCACTGATGCCAGTTTCACCGCATTCAATCACTTACGGAGACTGACAGAATGGGAGCAGACAAGGACCTGAAGAAGAAGCGGGCAGGACAGGTGAACAAGCAGCGAGAGATAGATGGCGGTGGATGAGAATGACAGAGTAGGGGATTAAAAGAAAAAAATGCTAAGCATGGTTACAATCTGGAATCAGTTCAACCACCTAAATTGGGCTATTTAAAATGTTCTTATATTGAAAAGAGGAGTCATATCAGAAAATGTGCTTAGTCAAAGATGGAATAAATTCGTAAATACATTTCACGATGATTCCAACAATGCACCAGCTTTATTCCTTCCCATTACATGATATAAAATCCCATGTGTACCACTTCTCGGAAAGCTTTTCAGTCACAGACATGATCATCACATAACAACCACATTGCCAAAGGGTGGGCACTTTACTGTTCCACCGGGTGCAATGGTGACAAAACTGGCATGAGTCATACCTGAATAAGGAACACCCTCTCCAATATTATTGCTGCAATAAAACTATCTCTGTTATAATTATAAATATAGAACCTTGGCATACATATTCAGCTAATTTTCTACCTCAATCTCTTGTCATAAGGAAGGAGTAAATTCTGCTGGTTACAATTAGAGTAAAAAATGCCTTTGATATCCTCTTTCATTGCCCTGTGTTCTGTCTCTTTCTCTTCTCTCACACACACACACACACACACACACACACACACACACACACACACACACACACACACACACACACACACACACACACACACACACACACACACACACCTGACACCTCCAGAACCAGTTTTTCCTCGGCTATTGTTTGTTCACTTTTACAGGATCTTCTATGATGTCATTCTTCATTGTTATAATACGACAGATCATTAATCGTAGGGCAGGGACACTCACTTTCAGACCAAGTTTACTTCCATGCATTGTGCTTTTCAAGATTCCTGATGACCTGACCATGAATAGACGCTCCTATCTAATTTCAAGTTCTTAAGTATATTATTAAATATTATTAAATATTATTATTAATGCTTTTACTTATCCACTTTTACACAAATATTAATAAAAGGGTTATAAAAGGGTCTGGTGTGGCAGTGTTTCCTAATATCAACAGCTGACTAGGATTTTGAGAGGAGGATCAGTCGCAGCGTCATACACGAATCAGATATAGCTGCTACTGGGAGAGAACAACAGACATGGCTGCAGACAGCTCTTCTGTAGGCTTTAAAGAGTTACTTAACACCAGGCTGAAAAGCAGTGTTTTGCTGCCCTCTGTGGTTTAAAGTTTTTAAACCTGCTTCACCTCTTACCAGACACAGTATCACTTTGGTGTTGGTGTGGCTGGGTGTGGTCAGAAGAGTGTTTAATTGGACCTGTAACCACACCAGACAGTGATGTCACAAAGTACTGTACTTTGACAGAATATAATTAGTAGACAGAGGTCTTTGAAGTGAAGCCAACATGGAAGTGTCTTAAACCTGTATTCTCTCCAATGGCCAGCAGGGGTCAGCACCATGGGCTGCATCAAGAAGTCCAATGGAACGGTCTTATGAGAAATTCTCCTATTTTCACTTTATTTATTAGCTCAGTAGACAGTTTCCTAACGAGTTTATGGTCTCAATTGCATGTTTCAAGTCTTCTTCCATACACCATGATGTTCATTTTGTAAATTATGATCCCATTGAGAGTAAAATAGATGATGAAACTGGTATGCTTTAGGGCGTGGCTACCTTGTGATTGACAAGTCATTCTTAGTGAGTCCTTCCAGCGCACCGCACAAAACTAACAAACTAGGCAGTTGATCAAATATAAATCAAGTTTCTGATAGGCATTGCCTATTTCTTCTAAAATCTTTTCAGAAACATATTTTCGTGTACTGTTTATCTGTAATAGGAGAATGTGTGTGACCAGGTAAGCCGCCATTTTTTCCTGTAACAGACAAGTAGAAACTAAGCACAGCCAATGAGAGCAGCTCAACTCGCAGTACGTCGTCACTGCTTGCTCAGAAAAAACGACATTACGAAGACCATAATGCCAAACTGGAGGCTTCAAAAGTGGTGAATTCAATAGGTGACGTCACAATTGGTTGATACTTGGTCCCCAGCAAGGTGAGAAGTTAAACCACTAGAGGTCAGCAAAGACAAGCTCCTCTTTAAGTTGAACAGATAATTTAAAAAAATAGGAATACAAGAAACAGAGATATAATACACTAGTGTTATACACTCTGGAGTAATGAGAGATAATCACAAACCAAAAATGTATGTACCAAATTACAGTCAGATGAGGAGGCTGTTTGCCAGTGCTTCATTACTTTCAGGATAGTGTCCTCTTCTTCTTTCATAGTAATAATAATAGAGAGCTGACAAGCTGTTTCCTAGCAACACAATTCAAATGATCCACTCATTAAAAATCCCCAATTTATATTGAATTTCAACAGGGCTTTTCATGGGCTAAAATGGGGATTTGGTTCACATCTAAAGTTTCTCCATGTACATAAGTTACTGTTTTATTTAAAAAGTTTGAAAAATTATGAAAACAGAAGAATAACATTTCAAGAACATCTGTCCTGTGCAGACAAAATAGAGACAAGATATGTGTGAAAAGTCAATTAGTGTAATCTTTGTTAACTCCCAAAACACATATTCTATTAAGGTTGTGTAAAGCCATAATTGTCAAAGCGCCAAAATTAATGTCAGGATCTGTTTACCAGAGGCTAAGATTTCTTCCATAGATGGAGTAAACAGGATGAGTAACAGCTGCATCTGCATAAACCTTTCTCCAGGTGGACTACATTATATTTAGTTCTGCCTGCAAATGGCTTTTCTGGATGCCGGCTATCTATTCTAGCTTAATGGCACACCTAAATACAACAGAAATATTAAATAATGTTTTAAAGTTGCACCTGTACTGTACCTGATGTGAGGACAAAGGTCTTTATAGACAATGTTTTGGATCATTTGTGTGAACCAATACAATTCTATAAACATTTGCCACAACAGCAGACGGCATGAAGCTCACAACCAGATCCTGGCAACCCACAAGGTCACTTGGAGCTCTCTAATATAACCTCTTGCGTCAACACAAAAGAAATGGCAATGAAACGATTATGACCATAACTCATTGTCACATTTACAGGCCTCGAACCTTATTTTTGCTGTGGCGGCAATTTTGTGTGCGAGTAAGGTCACTGAGATAAGTTCCCTGTTTAACAACTGGGACAAACAAGGTGGTTACTTTTCCCCAACTTCAATGACTTTACATTTACTGATGTTCGTGGCAGCTCAAAGTGACGCCAGGTGATCGTTCCCATTACTACTAGTCTGTAACCCAGCAGGTTTGTAAAAGGTAAACAGGTGGAAAAGGGTTGACAGCCCAACACTTACCTGACGATGTTATTGCTGCCACTGAAGAGAAGGGCAGCGACCAGCCAACGAACAGGAGGTGGGTAATGTTGACTACAGGTAGCGTTAATGCGCTAACATAAGATTAGCACTTTACAGCAGGTGATCAAATCTGTCCTCAGCTGACCAGCGCCCGAGCTCTACCTAACTATTTAATGATAAAACAGCGGAAATATAAAAGTTCAATAACAATGGCTGACAAGTGCTTCAGTTATGAGCTCCGACGGGCTACTCGCTCCCGTCTTGTTGTGGTTTGTGTCTCATTCAGGAAGTTTTTCTGCCTCACATAGCTGTAATAGCCGGGAGCCGGGGTGGGCGGTGTTGGGAGCTGTCCGTTGGTATCGCACGAGAGGCAGGTTGTAGTTCTTTCGGTACGCCTCCTCCATGTCTCCTTATTGTAATGGCCACCAAAACAGACTACAAATCCCAAAAAAAGCACAGGTGGTGTATATTTTAAAACCGTGTGACGCTTTCGAGCAGGGCATTTTATCGGGTTCCCACTTTTACAAAGCGCACAGTATAAAAAATATATCTCCAAGGGTAAGCAGAAGGTATATTTGGAGTTTAAAGAACCGCAAACTATGCTAGTTATCAGTACAGCACGAAATTAACTGTTGCACTGTAGGTCAAGATAGTTATCCACCAGCTACTGTCAGTTGGCGTCACACGTAAACAGTTCAGAACATTGTGTTCGTTAAGTTGCAACTGATTTTAAAGACCGTTCGTTACAGGCACGTTACATTAAGAAGAAACTAACGTCATGCTAACCGTTGTAGCAGGCTGAAACCAATTGGGGCAGGTGATATAAAATAGGTTGAACAAGAATATTGTGGCATGTGACAGTCTTTCAGTGACTCGAAAACCGAACACGAAGCCGCCAGGAGGAGGGTCGAAAACATTTAAATGATAAAAGTAAAGTAAACTGAACGTTTGCATAAACAAAGACGGAAACTGGGAAAGAGTGACCATTTCGGTTTTCGTCAATACTCTTTGGTCCACGTCCATTGGACCAATCGACGTCGAGGGGGCGGAGTCTGCGGCAAATGAACTAGCAGCGAGCCGCTGCGGTGCTGGAGGAGAGCAGCAGAGAGAGACGGCACACATCCATCCATCCATCCACCGTACCTAACACCGTTTATCGGTAAGAGCCGTTTTAAGCAATTACTTACAACTAGTTCAGCCACAGAACCTGTACCGCAGTATCTGAATGACATGACAGCATAACAAACCCTAACTGCTCAGGTTTTGCAAGATAAAAAAAAAAAGAAAAGCCTATTTGTGAGTTTTTCCATAGTATTATATTTTTTTATGAAGGTGTAGGAATGTGTAGTTGTAATAGGGAATTTTATGGAATAGTATACCGGGATTATGATGCTATAATAAACATATGTATGCTTTTAATAAGGGGGGGCGGGTGGAGACGCACATTGGAGCCAAACATATTTTCTTCAAGCCTATTGATCAAAGCCGTTACCCGATTTCCACCACCCAGTGCTATTGCATTTTTGCCGGTGGTCTGCGATTGCAGTGCTTGTTTTTGTTGTTTGTTGTTCACTGAGCTCAGGCATTGCAGTGTGGTTCTTGTCCTTGAAATACAGGCAAAGGCGCGGTGACAGCATGTGGGTGAATTAACGAGGCAGATTGTAGTAGCCTGCTCCTACCCTATCCCCACCCCACACACACACACACACCTATACACACACCTACACACACCACTTGTTATTCCTTCATGCAGGTCTGTGTGTGTCTGTATGTGTGTATGTGGGGTGGTTTTGGTGAAAATCCATGTAGTATCAGAATTGTCCGCAGATTCAGCTGGTTCATATATTTGATAAAGAGAAACAAAATACATCTCTTATATCTTATATTCATATTAAACTGACTTTTCACCTCAGGTTAAATCATAGGAATTTTATATTGATACCTTGTGAGGAGGAACATGATCAGTAATAAACATTTCAGTGTCTCTCCTGATCTTGGCTCATTCTCTCAATCCTCCTATGATCTCTTTATCTCTGCAACCAAGATAATGACCTCCTAAATCCTCATTTAGGCCTACAGTGCCAGCAGCTCCATATTCAGAAAAACAGTATCCCTTTTAGTCATAATCTCAATGTATTAATCTCATATGCATCTGAATCACTGGTTAATCTCTGTTGATATAAAGCCTGCTGTTTCCTCCCTCTGCCCGCCTATGGTGTGTGTGTGTGTGTGTGTGTGTGTGTGTGTGTGTGTGTGCGTGTCCTGCCTATTCCCACCGCTGCATTAATTGCATTTCAATAATTAAATGTCTTTCAAATCAGCCTGGCGAAACAAAACGAGCAGGGAAGGGAGGAGCAGCTGACTGGATTTGAACACTCTGCACACAGCTTGTTTGTGTGTGTGTGTGTGTCAGTGACTGCCACAACCTTGTTTGTAGGTGTGTGTGCATGTGTTTGACGTTTCCCCCTTCCGTGAAATATTCTGCTGTGAGAATAAGAGGAAATTTGCAATAAGCACTGCTGTTGACTATAGATACGTCCTCTCAGAATAGAACCAAACCTGTTACGTACCGCAGTATAAGGTGAGGGGGGAAAAAATCTAATTTAATCTTTCTTTGTCGTGAAATACACGGTTACTGAATTAGAATTTACTGAAAATACAGGAGAACAATAGGCTGGTGGTGATCAGCACAAAAACCTGCAGATTGCTGACAAATGGACTTCATACAAATTAAAAACATATTGAAAAAATGTTTAAACTGTGTAATAAATCTACAGAATGTAATTAAAAACCATAAAGAAAGGTGGATGAACTCAATTTCAGCAGTTTTCCTTCTGCGGCTTTTACTTTTTCCCCCTCATTTCCTACATAAACTCACACACTGACACACACCACCTGCACGCACACACTCAGGCAGCAAGGTTTGTCCCCTGTACAGTCTGCTGCAGCAAAGACACGGGGGATTAGTTTATACCTGGCCAGATAGGAGGATGAGAGCCGAGAGAGAGATTCGAGGTCAGGGAAAGAAAGAGAGAAAGAGGTCAAGAGTTAAATCAGGGAGTTACAGAGAGGAAATCAAAATAATGGAAATGAATTGCCCGTTTGAATGAATGCACCAAACTGTGAATGTTTGATACCTCAAAGTAAATACATCCATAAAAAAGAGTGGATAAATACATAAATTCAGAGAAGAAACTCCTAAATATGGAGGATTACCTGTTAATGTGTATATAATAATTTTAAACACAGCTTTTTTTTTTTTTTTTTTGGTGCAAATTCTGAATTTAATTAAATTTAATTAAACTCTACACAAGATTGTACACACTTAAGGGAAATGTTCTGCCATTTCACAGCAGTCTGTTCAACCTTTCACAGTCTGTCCAGCTCACATCACATCAACTCTGGTTCTCTCACACACACACACACACACACACGTACCCTGGAATCGATCGGTCGATTGATTGGTGGCGCTGAGGGATGGGCTGAGTGTCCACGAGGGAGAGAGAGAGATCTCAGTGAGAAGGAGGAGGAGGAGGAGGACAGTAAAATGGCTGAAGTGATTTGGTAATACCCATATTTTCCCCTCATGCAAACCCCTACCTCCGCAGTGAACGGCTCCAACACCAGATCATTTTGAATTATCCTCCTAATTGTCTCACTTGTCACCATCTTCGTCTCTCTCAATCACCTCTCCATTTTTAAACCTGTTCCCCAAGCTAACCCTCTGCCTCCTGCAGCAAGCTAAATAATCACAGTTCAGTTTGTGAACAATTCATACACCTTCTTACCTCTGTTACACACACACACACCTACGCACACATTTCTCCCGCAGGACTAGTTGATATTGACCTTTCTTGTTCTCCGGTGTCTCTCTGGTCTTTAGTCCATTTGAAAAAGCCTCCAGTCTTTTCACTTTTACCACTGACCCCAAATAGAGGCCGATCCAATTACAGCTCAAACCTCCTAACTGTGCTCCCACAGCGCCGTAGCTGTTAGAGTGTGTGTGTGTGTGTGTGTGTGTGTGTGTGTGTGTGTTTTTCTGATAAAGAGAAAGAAAAGAGACACTGTTGAGTGTGCCTTGGCAGAGTGTGGGGAGCAGTCAACCATCTTGCCATGCTATGCAGGGGGTCGTTAGATATCATTGGCTCTGAATCAAAGCTGGTATCTGCATGGAAGCTGCCTCTATTCAGCTTTTCAGTGCACTTCCTGTTTCTGTCTGTCCGTCTTTAGTTGTGTCTTCCTCTCTTTTGCTAATTTTCTACCCACACGTCTTCCTTGTTTTTGTTGGTTTCTGTCTCTGCTCATTTTTTCTCTTCTCTCTCTCTCAGTCTATTAAACTGTCTTTATACCTCTTTATCTCTCTCTGCGTGTCTCTCCCTCTGGGTGTCTCTGTTAGCAGGGATTAATAAAGGGTTGTTAACCTCTGTTTGCCCTCTGTGGAGTGTACAGTGAGCATCCTGGGACTTCGGGCAGGTTCCATAGCACGTTATGTCATTTTCGAGCTAGGGCTAAGGCACTGAGCTGAGGATGGGCTGTAGATAGGTAATTTTGTGTGCCACTGGGGTGAATATAAACTGCAGGGGTAGACTTTAAAAAGTAGAATAGAGGTAATCACAGCCATATTGGATGACTGAATATAACTGTGCAATGCAGCGTGAACACGCATGGAAAATTACGGTAAGTAATAGAGCAATGACAGGACTCACTGTGTGTGGCCTATACACAGAAACGTTTTAAGCCAAGTAAATATGGCATGTTATTATGGCATATGCTGTGTGTGTGATAGACAACAATATCAGTGACCTCTAGCTTCAGCATGGTAAATAGCTGGTAGCTGCTCAGCACAGTGTCCAGTACTAGGGTTTTGTTTAATGGGTCATTTCTGTAAGTTCAACAGGTGCTAATGAACTATTGCACCCACCCACAGCAAACACAAACCACAAGTATTGTGCTGTTGTTGTGGCTGCCACAGCAACGGCACAAAGCTCTGTGAATTACAGCACATATCTAGTTTTGCTTTCTCAATTACAGAAGAAAATAATAATCCATAACACATTTCACACTTGATTATAATTTCCTATGCACAGGGAGATTGAATTAATTGAACTGGCCACTTTATAAATGAAATGCTGTAAATTTTCCAATTCTAAAGTTATTGGAGAGACAATTTCTACTTTTTAAGATGAGACTCAGTGATTGCCCTCAGGTTTTACTGTCCAGTGGAGTCTTATCTGCTTGGATCCTGCTAGATCTGAACTAAAATTTAACTAATCTGACATACTGTGTATGTAAGCTGTGATAAGGGTTTTGATGTAAAATATTTACAACCACTTCCAGAAATAGGCATAACCACTGACGGCTGATTACCTTTATTTAGCCTTGCCTTTTTATCCCTTTGGCACCACCTCCACTAATAAGAAATGCAGAGTTGACTGTTAACAGCTTTAGTCCACACTAAAGTGACACTTTGACATGTCACAGTATGAAAAGCACAGGTGTAACTAATGAAATGAATCATGGCTGAATTCCATTTAGCTGCCACAGTTTCGGGGTCCTTTTGTTGTGCATGCTGGCTCACTGTCTACCTCTCATGGCTCACCAGGACACATGAATAGAAGAGAGTCATTGTTGAGGTTATTAATAAAACTAAATTAGTCCTTTTACTTAGGACAAGTCAAAATGTCTGCTGTAAGAGAGCCCTGTTAATGTAACACTGGCTGCTAAATAAAGCTTCACCTTACATTGGCCAGTATTAAAATGACTCTTTGTGTCTGCCGATGGTTTACTTACTGGTTTACGGTTGTTGTGATCTGCAGGCTTATTTGGTGATGAAACTGGTGTTCAGTTTTATTTTAAGATTGACAGATTAAATAAAAAGTATGACATATTTCCTTTTTATATGTGGAATAGAAATATATCTGCATGAATGTGGCAGCAGTAATCATTGCTTTGGGGGAGCGATTGCATTCTGCTTTTAAAGATGTTAAAACTTTGTCCCCTCTACAGAATCATGTCAAAGTAGCAGATAACTTTCCTTTTTTATCAGAACAATTAATCATTATAATTTACTAGATGAGAAATCAAATTACGACCAAACCTTTAGGATTTTTTAAAAGTATTATTCTGGCCTTTTTAGATTCTACCATCACAAAAATGTGGCATTATTTTCTTACCGAAATTAGCTTCTAGATGAGATACAGTGCTTGCTTAGCCATCTAGCTGCTGTTGCCTGGTTGCCACAGTAGGTATGGGGCGTGAGCTGAACGGACAACTTGATTGATGAATTGTATCCACTTTTTTTTGGGCACAGTAATGGAAGTCCCCACCCGCCATTGCAGTTTAGTGCTTCCTTTTTCTCAGACTGCAATGGAGTTAAATGCTCTGCCCACTGTTTTCTGCTCTGCCCTGCGCGCCTGCACATCAGCGAGTGAGCAAGAGGTGAGAGACGGGTTGTCTAATCACACGGGAAAAGTGAGACACACACAGATACACGAGTGATTTGAGATTAATGGTGTAAGGTTTCATGAAGGTTTAATCATTTTTAGTGTGAGTCTGTTGCATTTTACTCAGTTCAAAACCAGAACAATATGTAGAAAGCGACCACAATGGTGCCTCCAAGGAAAACTTGAAACTCATGAATGATAATCAGACTCCATTATCTCTGTACTGCAAAGCCCTTTATAAATTAGACATATTCATGGTGAAATCGTGCCAGATTACCCTGCCATTTTTAACAGCGCGTCCATCGCAGAAATTCAAGGTTTTTCTGGGCCAGAGTTTTATAATGATACACATCATTCTCTGCAGTTTATTCCCAGAGGGATAGGCCTTGATGAAACGGGATTGGAGAATTCGTCAAAGCGCCTACGAGCTTCAGTAGTTTGGAAGTGTACTTAGAGCCTCAGTGAACCAGGGTGCTGTGATTTGACCAGAAGTAGTGAAGTGGGCTTAAGAGAGAGACACTGTAAGGGGAACTTTGCTCCGTAGTGATCACTTCCAGAGGAAAGAAGAAGAGCTGGAGCTTGCCTTGTTTTTGCAAAATGAATGTGTGTGTGTGCGCTGTGTGTGTTTGTAATATACGATGTCAGAGAGTGCACTGAGTGACAGAACTGGAGCTGGTGTGAAGAGTTCTTGCAAAGAGAGGGGTTACGCGAGATGGAAAATGCTGAGTAGTGTGTGAAAAAAGGAAAGAGAGTTTATCTGCCTACACGGAGGGAGGAAGATATCTTTTAAGGGTAAAAATTCTCTCTGTCAGCTCGGCAAAACGAAAAATGTCCATCACTTGCAGTTGCCTTGGTAACCTTGGCTTGGAAGTGTATGGGGAAACGTGTACTTCAAAGTGTGTGTGTGTGTGTGTGTGTGTGTGTGTGTGTGTGTGTGTGTGTGTGTGTGTGTGTGTGTGTGTGTGTGTGTGGGTGTGTGTGTGTGTGTGTGTGTGTGTGTGTGGGTGTGTGTGTGTACCTGTGGATTTGAACCATGAATGAGGATGTCCATGTTTAATAAATTCCCCTGGCCTCCGAAGCATGCCGTCTCAAGGTGTTGGGTTTAAATGGCAGTAAGGATTATCGTGCGTGCTGTGGATTTGGGTGACGTCACATTTTAATTGTCGAAATGTCAACTGCCGATCTATTCTGTTCGAGAATTAGGATTACACAGAGAGATTAGAGGCTGCTTTTAAAGGCCAGTGAGTTTAATTGCATGGAATTAATCAAGTTGTCAGGATTAAACCATTTCTGACATATTCAGCTCTTTTAGTCACGAGAAAACATTTTATAGCTGGGTGTTAGGTTTCCCTGCTTACGTGTGAGGCATGCTGGGAACCCCACCTTTTAGCAGATCGGAGCCAAAAGTTGGGCTGATTGTCATCAATGGCCCAACTGGCGAAGTGTGGGATCCTCTTGCAGACAGCGTGCCACAACTCAAAAGGTCAGAATGGTGTCACCATTACAAGTAATAGCCAGCCACCCATGGTGTTATTATCCACTCACACATGCAGACTTGCACACAGACACACACAGGTGCACACACAATGATGCTCCACACTACTTTCCCTGGCTTAACTGCATGGCTGGGTCTTTCCTTACAGAGAGCAGGGCTGTCTGTCTCAGAAAAGTTCAGCTCCCACAGCTCAGAAGGTCAGGAACATTACCTCCATTTACATCTCTGCCAGCCACCCCCTCCTTTCCCTCACTCTCTCTGGATCTCTCTCACTCTCTCCGCGATGTCTGACTCACAGCGCGACATGTGAGCGCAGGTGAACACACGTGACTCAACAGTATGTTCATTGCAATACATCAGGTCTGCGCCTTCGGGCGTCAATTTGATTTTTCTGTTCACGTCTGTTTTAAAGTCGTACATCATTAATGCAACAAGCTGTTGGCGAGGCTTTAACCACAACTTCTCTGCCTGCCAACTTGATGGACCATCCTGCCGCTGACTCCAGTCTAACTTAATATATGATCAGATTAATTATCTTACAGTATTTAATTCTATTTGTCCTACTCCGATTCCTTTCATACTTTTTGGCTGTGATGAATGGATGATTTAACAATAAGGCTGATATTCTTTATTTTTGTTGCCTTCAACAAATCCCATCAGAAGAACCAAAACAAACAATGCATCTGTCCATCTCTCAGTACTTTCTCACTTCCCTACGCTGTCTCGCACTCTCAGACCTGATTCCATTTGTTCCAGCTGAAGCTGTAAAACTTTAAGGACAGCTCATAAATATATAGTTTTTGAAAGGCTAAGCAATTTTGTAAACCAGCTGGGCACTGTAGTTTTTTTTTTTTAGTAAACATTACTCAAACAGGACTAAATAGTTGATTTGTTGGGGACTATTTTCAGTGGATTAATACACATTTAGTCCTCTAGTCTAGTGAGTATGTAACAGTTAATGTGGGATTAACTAAGACAAAGGCACTACATGTTAGAAAGATCAGTAACTGTTGAGTTTGAGAGAGAAGAGAAGAAGATAACCACCCTTATCCTGTTAAATATAACTCTACAAAATGTTCACATATTTGGGTATATGAACAAAATGCATGTGTGAAACTCTGTAAACTCAAATGACTTTCCATGTGCTGACTCAAGCGGATGCAAATCCAGCTGGCAGTTTGGTCCGTGCCATGCTTGTCAAAAGCAGTTTGTCAGAATACTTAGATTGGGAACAAACAAGATGACTGTCAGTGCAGAAGGACATGTTGTGATGTGTGTTATGCAAGAGAATGAGGGATGGCACTTCAGATCTTTTAGACTGTAAAATGTAGGCATGGCTGGCCAACTCTTCCTACCCAATCAGGAGGTATAGTTCTAGGGATAATGCTAGCACTAATATATATTTTTGTTATTATTAACAAATAGGAATGTAAAGATCACAAGATCGTGATACAAATATGTGATGATTCAAATCAGTGAGATTGAAAATGACTCATGATATCAATTGTGATAGATATACCCTACCTCAGAAATAAAAAAGCATTCTATAATTTGATCAAAAAAATATAAGAGAACATATATTTTGTAGATTTTTGTCAGAGAAATAAAGGAATCAGTAGTCATAATTCTTCCTCACTCTTATTTTGTTAAAGAAATTGTGAGAAAATCATATCCTGAACCCAGTACTGTGAATACTGTGAGTATTTCATTATATCCCTATTAACAAATCATATGAAAAGGCCAAAACCAATGATGGCGACTCTCAATCCCAAGCACCGTTGTTCCTTTTGAAGACGTAAATCTTGACAATAACAACAAATATATAGTCTCATTATTAAAACACGGTGCTGTCATTTTTGCAAACATTACTAAAACAGGAAAAAGAAATGGTGCGATTGTTGAGACGTACTTTCAGCCGTAGATTAGGTGCTCCAGTGAGTATTTAATAGTTTTTGGACACCAATGGAGGCAATTCATTGTTGGTTTTATTCTTTTTATGGTATTTTTTGACAATAAGAAAAGTGTAGACTATCACTAGACTAATCCTTTAATGGATTTGACATTAATGGATCCCCCACGTTGGACTGCTTTATTTTGAGGGGAGATTGTTTGTTGCATGCCAGAGCCCAGCAGCGGAAAGCACAGAACACAACAGGATGGGGGCACTAATTTTCTGGCTGCTGCCCATTGTAGTTGTTGTTGACACTCAGGTACATTGTGAGCACAGTCAGTCACCTGTCGTCCCACGCATACAGTAGCAGCCAGCAGATTCCAGCGCTGCATGGGACTGCTAATAGAATCCTCTATACAAACTGTATAATAACAGCACAGCAGAGAGACAAACAACAAAACAAATGTCCATGTGTTATTTCACACTTTATCACTGTGTCTCGATATGTTTCTCTACTCTCCATCTCTCTCTCTCTTTTTATGCTATATATCACTGAGTCTCTCTTTCTTTTTTGTTTGAGCAGCAAAAAACAATGTTGCCTGGCAACAACAGCACCAGAGTGATTGCGCAGTGTGTGTACATTTTAAAGGTATAAACGGAAAGAGACAGAAAAGGTAGCAAGAGAGGAGGAGATAGGTGAAAATAGATAACATATGGACGAGAGGAAGATGAAGAAGAAGAAGGTGAGAAGTGTGACAGCGTGGAAAGACGATGGGAAAGGATGGAGGATGGGTGGGGTGGGTGGGGTTGGGTTGAAGGCCTCTTCCTAATCAGTCATTCTGTACTCGCAGTCAGAAACTCGTCCATTCGTATACAAAGGCTCAGACACACACACACACACACACACACAGAGAGAGAGAGAGAGAGAGCAAAGCTGATTTTGAAGAAAAGAAGCTGATTTAACTCGGGATGAAAAGAATGGCCATAAAATATGTATGAGCTCATTTAGCAGATGTGCTCTGAACATCAATACTGACTGCAGTCAGCAGCTGTAGTTACCGGACATTCTTGTTGTTTATCTCATTTCCTCTAATTCTCTTTCTCCATCACTCTCTGTTATTTCTGTACCTGTGCACAACTGGGTTTAACTCTTAGGTTTGACGTGGATGTGTGTCTTTTCACCTTTGATTCCTTGTTTCCTTTTTTTTCCTTCCTTCCTTCTGTCTCTTCCCTGAACCCATTGTCCTGTCATATATTCATTAAGGAATCCAATTACTTTCTCCTTTTATCCCACTACTGCACTATTTAAGCTGTTCTGCATTTTCATTTTGAGAAACGGAGTCCTCTTCTTCAGCTAACAAGTAGGAATTGTTACTACTTTTTACCAATGCCTTCCTTTTTTACCTTCATAATTTAAATCGGTGGAATGATTGACTGACGGATGTTTTTTTGTCTCTCTGCTCTCCTCTCTTTTTCATCCACATCCCTGCTCTCTCTACTTTCATCTCTGTCTCCCTCCCTTCCAAAATCCTCTTGTCCTTCATCTCTGTTTCTCCCTTGCGCAATAATCTTCTCTACCTTTATCTCTCTCCCTCCCTCCCCTCTGCAATCCTCGTCTTTCTGCCATCACCTCTCTATCCTTCCTGCAATCCTTCTCTCTCTACTTTTGGCTCTGTCCCTCCCCAAATCGTTTTCTCCCTTTCATCTTGTCTTCTCTCAATCCTCATCTGTTTTCCTTCCTTCCACACCTCTTTGGCTGCCCATCCCCCTTCCATCTCTCCAATCACTCATTTCCTGTTCCTTAACACCCCCCATCCATCCATCTTTCTATCTGTCCTCCAAACATATTTTTACTCTCTCTTTGCTTCATTCACTTCCCATCCTCTCTTTTCCCCCCCTCTCCCTCTCTCCATCACCACATTCAATTTCTCCTCTTTCTCTTTCCATCCAATCCCTCTTTCACTCAGCTATCTGTGGTCTGTGCTGCGATGTTGATCCTGGACGTTTTGTCCCCGCTCCTCCTCCTCTCCATCCTGTTGCCGAGCTACAGTTGCTGGGCGGCGGACATTCCGGAGGACACTACATCAGAGTTCTCGGTCAGACTGTACCAACGGCTGCAGGCGGCGGGGGATCAGGACAACATAATTTTTTCCCCGCTGAGCGTGGCTGTGGCCCTGGGCATGGTGGAGCTGGGAGCCAGAGGGGCTTCACTGGAGGAGATACGACAGGCTGTAGGATTCAGCCACCTGCTGCCAGGTGAGACACACATTCATAAACAAAGGACACCAGCATCAGGGTTAGTGGACGGTGAAGGAAAAGGAGGTGAATCCAAATTCTGAAAGTGGAAAGTCTTTGGCAAAGGAAATGAAAGTGCATTTTTTCAGATAATGTGTTTAAAAGGGCACTCCACTGGTTTTACACATAAAGTTCAGTTCACTTGTCACAAGGAGCAGCCTGTAAAAACAGTTGTATATATCTTTAGTAGTTCTGTAGGGAGTCCCCCAACTTTAAGGAAGTGCTCCTATACTGCTTTTAGTATGACAGCAGTTTTTTTTACAATATATTTTTCCCAATCCTGTTATATTTGGTTAGTAATATATAAGCAAAAGCAGTCAAAAGCCAGTTAACGCTCCCATTTTAAAGGTGTAGTAATACATTGTTTGTACCACGACACCTAGAAACCAAGGTAAATATATTTGTTATATATTCCCACTCGTGTTAATGACCATGAGTTTCATAAGAAAGGTGCTTTGTAAAATGTATATAAAATGAATGCATGTTTCACTTCCACTGTGAGAAAAGTATTGTGAGTTTTAATGTTTTAAATGTTTCCTCCAATATAAAAAGATAGCATGCTAACTTATATGCCCATTTTCTCATTTATTTGTATTTTATATGCATAGAATTTGATTTCTCTTACTGTATTATTTAACGACAAACTGTATGGATCTTAAAGTAATTAAAACCACCTTGTAGTACTCGGTATACACACCTACAGTGTAAATGTGTGTTACTCCCTCTGTTCTCCAGGCGTCGAGTTCTCTTTGCTCCAGAACCTGACAGCTGCTCTGTCGGACGATGATACCCACTACGTGATACGATTTGCCAACAGCCTCTTCCTGCAGGAGGGCGTCACCTTTAACCCTGAGTTTCTGCATTTGATGAGGAAGTACTTCCGGGCTGATGTGGAGACGGTAGACTTCAGCGAATCGGCAGCCGTGGCCGACCAGATCAACAGCTGGGTGGAAAATCACACCGAGAGTGAGTGAGAGAGGGCGGGAGGAAGAAAGGGAAAGATACAGATGAAGGGAGGGCGATAACATGAATTCATAATCTACCACCTAAGCATACTGTAAAGTGACATGTACAATTATCAAAGGAGCTACATCATTGGTTTGTTTGATCACATCACAAACTAAATTTACTCTAAAATGTTCATTCTCATCCTTGTGTGCGACTTCAGAAGCTTCATCACAGCAGGCGCTGTCCTCAGGCTAATGAAAACGAATGCAGATCTTAATGCACTGTACTAATCACTCCCTCCAGGTAAGATCCGGGAGCTGCTGTCAGCCGAGGACTTCAGCAGCGTGACTCGTCTGACCCTGGTGAACGCCGTCTACTTCAGGGGGTCATGGAAAAACCAGTTCAGGCCAGAGAACACCAGAACCTTCTCCTTCAGCAAAGACGACGGCTCTGAAGTCCAGACGCTCATGATGTACCAGCAGGGAGACTTCTACTATGGTAGGGATGAGCTGTGTGTGTGTGTGTGTGTGTGTGTGTGTGTGTGTGTGTGTGTGTGTGTGTGTGTGTGTGTGTGTGTGTGTGTGTGTGTGCGTCTTTAGAATTGTACTTGAACTTTTTCTGGAACCCTTGAATTTCTGCTCATATTTCCTGAGGTTATTTAAAATGTTAATCTTAGATCTAAAATATTCATATTTGGAGTGTTATTCCCAGGAAAGGCTCATCTTTTCTGCTCAGTGAGCTCTCTTCTGCACAAACTCCTCTGGTATGTCTATTTGATTTAGTTGTATATTTTGAAGGCTATTTTGTTAATGTCATACAATATTAGCTGTACTGTGACAGTCGGTGGTGCTAAATTAGGTCTTGCTAAATCTTGTCTGACGGTAGATAAAAATTAACAACACTGTCTTCCCACTGATTTTGTACTTTTTTTTTACCCCCTTCACACACCTGTCACATATTTGAGGAACTGGAATTATTGGCTATTTTATCAACGTCAGAATCTAGCAGTTTTTGAGTTAGGAGTACTACGTGTCCAATATTGGTGTAGTTGTTTTTTTGCCAGCACTGTGAGGCTCAAGACTGTTTGTACAGAGTCCAGCATGTTGGCTAAAAAGCTGTAACATCTGAATGTTCCCAGTCTGTCTTTTTTGAATTTAGTCATTTTTTCGTCTGACGTACTGCCAAAGACAGTTAAAACAGACTCTTACTGCACTGCTACTAAAATTGACGCATTTGAGTTATTTTGGTGCAGTCTGAATGTGTGTAGTGAGACACACTTGCATACACCTACATACGTTCACAGGGTGCACACATACTGCACTCATCATTGCAAGCTCGGGATCAAGGAAATCTGTGTATGTGTGAACTGGTGAGTGTGTGTGTGTTTGTGTGTGTGTGTGTGTGTGTGTGTGTGTGTGTGTGTGTGTGGTGTGCATAGTGTGTGCATGTGTGTGCCTAAGGATTGCAGAACAGGGACAGGTCCATTGGGAGAAGGTTACGTTTGCTTTTTCATTTTGAAGCACAATCATATTGGCTAAGTAAAATGTTTTGTGAGGCCACACCCCGCTCTCTGCTGCAATGTTGCCTCACTCTATATCAGCAGCAGCTCCGCAGAACGCCACGTGTAAGTTCATGAAGGTGGATAAGTCTTTATGTTGTAATTTTCCCTTTTAAGCAGCTTCAAAAGAAAAATCATGTGAAAAGATTGGGATAAAGTCTGGCAGTGTTAATTGCTCTATAATCTCCATCTCAAAAACCTGAGCAAGTCAGATAATTTTATGTTTAGATTTAAAATCTAGTTGGACTTGTTTTGAGTATAAAGGGATTATCTCATACTGTCTCTCTTACTTCTAGTAAATGCTCATTTTCTTAATAAGAATTTTTATCTGTGGGTTTTGTTAAATTAGATACACGGGACAAGTCTGTTAAAGATCCACCTCAAGGCTATGAAGATATCAGTTCTTAGCCTCTGTAGTGTAAATGTAAGAAGATTTCTGCTCTTACAGATGTTTGTGTGTGTAATCACATGTGCATTTGTCTCTGAATGTGTGTGGGTGGGTGAATTTGCACGTGTGTATATGTACACACATATATATGAGGATGGGTTTTTTCACTAGATCCTAGATAGTTTTACAGGGTTTTACTTCCTGCCTGGGGACAGTCAAGTGCATGTCTGTGTAAAAGGGGCCTCGCACTGACAAACACAAACAAACACACCATCTTTGCCTAATTGAATTTGGGGATTACAACAGAGCGCACTCAGTACAACAGGACTACATACAGTATGTAATAAAGTTTCACACCGACTGTTACCAAAGCCTTTAAATTAAAGCGTCAGTGGTTTTTAATTAGTGCATCAGAAAAAATAACCACACACGCTAGAATCAATACAGTCGATCGATGTGCCATTATGGTCTGGACACACTGCCTGTGTGAGCAGCGTGTGTGCGTCGTGGAACCACTTGCTTTTTTTTTTCAGTGTCCATGTTAACAGGTTAGACCAGCAGCACAGCAGCACGTCTTGCACGCGGCTTCAGCAGCACTTCACTATAGAGTCGTGGTCTCGCCTTTTTTTCCCACAAGCCACATGTGGTTCTCAGCAAAAATAGACTGAAAACGATCTGTTCATAGTCATATTGACATTATACCAGCAACATATACACCTTGCACTACAGTTACAATGTCTATATATTTGTAGAATGTGTCCGAGACGTGAAAAAAGGCATCACCGCGCGCGTGTGTGTGCGTGCGTGCGTGCGTGCGTGCCTGTGTGCTTTCTTGCATAATGTGTAGATCTTTCAATGCCTACATTTGTTTCCCACCAGGTGAGTTCAGCGACGGCTCACAGGAAGCTGGTGGTGTGTACCAGGTGTTGGAGATGCCCTATGAAGGGGAGGACATGTCCATGATGATCGTTCTGCCTCGGCAAGAGGTACCGCTGGCTTCCCTGGAGCCCATCATCAAAGCACCATTGCTGGAGGAGTGGGCTAACAATGTCAAACGGCAGAAGGTGGAAGTCTACCTACCTAGGTGAGAGATGATGCGCACAAACACATACACAAATACCCACAATTGTATACAAGCACACATACATATACACATACCACAAGACTTAAAAACTAACTTTTTAGGCTATTAAACTCACTTGCACCTGCACTGCAAATATATGAAACAACATAATTTAGTACACTTTTGGCTAACTAATATATATGTCATAATGTTAAAATGTAGATTGCCACCACACAGGGACCCTGAAATGGCTGCTCAACATAAGGTTGGCCTACCTACTAATCGTCCTATAATATTGAGACATGAACACACAGACAGATGTACAACTACTGTACACATGCATGAAATGCGATGACACCTTACCTTACACAATTTTAGCCAATGCCAAAATACAGTTAGATGGGTAGGTTAGGGACATGTAGGGTTTCATGTCCACTTACTTACATTCATCTGTGACTCTGTTATCAGAAGATGATCTCTCTTTATTATAATCCACCACAACTTTCTGGCTACTAACATTTGTCTGTTCACTGTATTCAATTCTGACTTCACTGTTCAGGTTCAAAGTAGAGCAGAAGATCGACCTGAGGAGCACTCTGCAGGAGCTAGGAATTAAGAACATCTTCACCAACGATGCTGATCTCTCCGCCATGACAGGTAACACTCAGCTGTAACCACAGACACACAAAGAGGGTGCAAAACACGGAAATATGTGACCCGTGGTATTATGTAAAACACACAGATGTAGACACAAATTGTGAGAGAAATGAACTCCTCGAAGGGTTCAGCATGAGAAGTTGATTCTATATTTCTGCTTCTTGGCTGCAGTAAAGTAGCCTCCAGTACTTTCTAAGGTAACCAAGGTAACTGGCATCGAGTGGGCAGGTCAGAGCTGTCACGTCATTTGGTAAAAATAGATCGAGAGAGACAGATGTATACACAGAGACAGAGAAATGGAGACACATAACTATGCTGAGATAATTTGCATCTAAAGAAAAAGAAACTGGTCCCACAGACAGCCAAACAAAGTAACCACATATAACTATCAACTTTAGTTTTATAGTGAAGAAGTGGATCGAACTAAATACGTAATAAACAAAAACAGTTTAAAAACCTTAAAAACCTTAAAAACCGAAAGACCCTTAATGCTCACTGAGGATCCAGTCCGAAACAGCTTGTTCTTACTGGTCAGGTGGAGCTATTATTATGTGGTGAAACACAATCTGCCGGCTGTACTGGACTTCTGGCTGTGCAGCACATCCTGTACTTGCTAAAACTAAAACAGCTCAGTACATACTCAGAGGACATGGTCTATTCTGGCCTGCAGATAGGTAAGAGAGGGTGTTTTAAAATGCTTTTAATCAAATCATCAGGATTTTCTGTCGTCGCTTATTTCGAATGGGACTGCACGATGTGACCCTGACGACTACTAATGTGTGTGTTTGTGTGTGTGTGTGTAACAGATGGTAAGGACCTGTATATTGGGAAGGCAGTGCAGAAGGCTTACCTGGAGGTGACTGAGGAGGGGGCCGAGGGAGCCGTTGGGTCAGGTAGGCTTCATCTTTTATTCTTTATCATAATCTGTTCATTAACAATACCACATACATAGCATTGTCTTTGTATGAGAGGGTCTCTATGGTAAACTCAGGTCCACAAAACACTGCCACCCTCTGTCAGACAATAACTGTGTCGTCTGCCACCTCTTCTTCTCCCTCTCTCAGGAATGATCGCCCTGACCAGGACTCTGGTGCTGTACCCACAGGTCATGGCTGATCACCCATTCTTCTTTGTCATTAGAAACCGGAGGACAGGTGTGTGTGTGTGTGTGTGTGTGTGTGTGTGTGTGTGTGTGTGTGTGTGTGTGTGTGTGTGTGTGTGTGTGTGTGTGTGTGTGTGTGTGTGTGTGTGTGTGCGTATAAATGTACCTCTGAAATACGTGCGTTTTGACCTGACACTCTATATGTCCCTTTCCTCTCCAGGGTCCATCCTCTTCATGGGCAGGGTCATGACCCCAGAAGTCATCGAGCCCAATGACCATGACTTTGACTCCATGTAACATGGCGCAAGGTCATTCAATCTCAGCCAAATCAGATCCTGACGTCATAAACACTACCTATCCTCTATTGCCATCTTCAGCTGTGTTTTATACTCTTGAAAACAAAAGATATAAACTGAATATTATACTACATATTATATATTGAAATATGACATACGACATATATTGTGACTGTGTTTTGATACTGGAAGCTTTAAATACTTGGATACAGACGTGCAGAAAGAGGAAGTTGTAAATATTCTCGAGCAAAGGATGGTTTGTATATGAGTGAGAAGAACACATGATATGTAATCCACGCACAACCCCTTTAAGTTCAGCAGCTTCGCACTCACTTGCGCTCACACACACACAATTGCACCAAAGCAGTTTTCTCTACAGTTCTTAAACACATATTTACTCTTTCTTACCCCAGATACAGTATGTGCACACTATAAGTTTCACACTTTAATTATAGCCCTGTACATTTGACATTGTGTTCGATATAAACATATATATGCTCAATATTTATTGCAGAATAAACATGTGCAAACATTTTGTCCTTATACAATGAATCTTAGTAATATATCCGCTCCAGACAGTATTCCAGTCATTTTTTACACTGTAGGCACATGGCTAATCTGTTGATGAATTAATATGCCTTATCACATCTGAGTGGTTGATTAAGCCCCAGCTGGGCATCTCACAGGTGAGCAGAGGGGACTGCGTAACTAGGGCGGGTTGCTATAGAGACGGACTGGAGCATGCAGGCGCACTGAAAAAGATCTGCTGCACCGTTTTGGATGTACATACAGGGAGAAACAGTAACACCAGCTGTATTCAGTCTTTTACTCAATAAAAACATGAATGTGTTCCCATTAAAAAAAACTGTGTCCTCTGTGTGTGGAGGTTGTTTTTTTATCTGGCATTTTAAATGTAAGCTGTATGCAGTTTATATGCACCATCCACAGCATTTAGGATGTCATTAATCTGAATGCTAACAGCTAATACAGCTTTCAAGTTCTTAAAGGATTTAGTGGAATTGAAAAACGTGCAATGCTTCAAGAGTTTATGAAACCTGTTAATAAAAGGTAAATTATATATTTGGTGCCTGAATATGTAATAGACTTTATATAATGCCCTGTTAAGACTGAACAGCTAACCTCTTCAACCGTAACTCAGCTTCCCTGGGCAGACAATGTCCTGCCAAGGTATCTTGGAGTAGTTTCAGGACTGTGGCATCACCTAGCTACCACACACACACACACACACACACACACCCAAGGAAACCGATCATATCACTAGGCAAGCCAAGGATATACTGTGACCAAGGGCGAATGAGACCTGCATGTTGATTCTTGCAAATGTCACTTCATAAGGAAGACTGTCTACGTATATAAATAAATTAAGAGTCTGTAGGTTCCTGAGGTACAAACATTTATTTTAACTCTGTTAAGGAAATATTCTGGCCTGGTGCATATCATAGGTAAATAAAGTGACATTGACAGAAGGGTCCAAATGTTTAATACATCTTACAACTTCTATGTTTAAACCTGACTTACACAACGTACATAGCCGTATGTTACTTAAATAAATGTTTTAATGTCTCAACATTAAGGAGCAATTAAGAGTGAGATAAACAATTCACACCAAAATTAATTAAACATTCCGATCACAACCAACACACCTATATTCTTGCCTGCATGGCATTGGCACGCTGATAATAAAATCTTACAATTACATCCCCAACAGATGTTTTTGGCCATTATATGAGCATCTTGTGCAGTGTGATAAACACAAAGAGCACAAAAAAAGACAAAAAGATGCTTTTGATGTGACAACTGCCTTCCCCATATCTTCAATTGATGTTTTAGGAACACACATTTTCTACAACAGTGTCACTCAAGATGAAACAGATCGCAAGAGAACAAAACAAAGTGAAATCATTTAAATGATAAATAGCAAAAACAGATATACATACAATGATAATACAACTAATGGATGTCTAAAAGATGTCTGTACCAAGTCAGAGGGAATCATTTCCACAGTCCCCTGCAGTGCCAGGGGTTTTCATTTACCTCTGTGAAATATCTAATAGCTTTTTCATCTCTTCAGTGTGCACAGTGTGTTTCACTGCTGCAATATCTTAAACACAATGAGCTGCATTGTGGAGGAACGACAGCCCATGGGTGTACGAAGTAATCTAAATTACTTTCACCAGCTGGTATGATAGCTGTGCCTTATGTCTTCATTGTGTGCCAATGAAAATCTAAATCAACCTTATCCCTCCTCCTCCTCCATGACAACATCCAGAAAGACAGAAACAACGACAACAACAACAACAACAACAACAACAAAGAACCCCTCGACCTGTCCTTATGACAGTTGCTGGCTGAGCATATAGGATACCAGTCAAAGCACAATTACTCAAGCACTGTTTAGGTATAATTTTGAGTATTCCAGGGACATTCTAGGTTTACTCCATTTAGTTAACCTGACATATAATTTCTAGTTTGCAAAAGGAGATTTACATAGAAAACCTGTAAAAGCTCATTAAAGGTGACATATTGTATTAAACTGCCATACAGTGTATAAAGTAGTTATTGGACCAGCTAAAACATTTAAATGCTGCTTATGCATTAATGTATTAATAATTTACTCTGAAAGGGACCATTTCGCACTTTTAGGTGAGCTATAGGGGCCCTGAGTAAGGATTTTAAGTTTGGTTTGGCATGGCCACCAGGAGGCTAAAGTCCTATATTCAGTTATTGTCATTTACAGTCAATGTTCATTCAAACAATATGTGTCTGTTATTCTGTTTGTATCGTCCATAAAAGGAACCTCTACTTCGCGAAAACCAGCCTATATTTAATTTTCAATATATTTTCAGACACAATTTAGTGTTTTACAAAATATAGCCTTATAAAATAAATTATATTCCAATTAGATGAACAAAGCTAATATGAGGACAGAAACGTGGCCAACCATAAACATAAGAGAGGATGGGGGAGGAGATTATGTGGCAAACATAAAAGAAAGACTCTTGTAAACATGACTGATAAAATAACAGCATTGTATTTTATTGTGAGCCCCGTGGTCAGATTTACACTGAGGCTTACATAATTAAAGACAAAAGCCTGATCACAGATTCTCTCTTTGTGCCAACACAAAGCAAAGACGTTTTTAGAACATATCCCTGCTCTCCTTTATTTCAAGTAATTGAGCTGTCACAGTTCATTTAAACGCTGAATATTCATTTAGTCTGCAGAAGCTGGGAGGTAGCCTACAGTTTCATTTCCACCTCTCTTTAGGTGCAAAACACCTGAACACTGTTGCCAGGCAACCAGCTGCTTAGCGACCGGGTCAGTGTCTCACCTGCAGCAGCAGCGGTGGTGGTGGTGGTGGTGGGCCCACACACCGGTGTCAGTCTCTCCCGGGGCAGCAAGCGGGACGGTAAACTTTCTCTCGGTGAATACTGCCAGACCCACCGGGCTCCATGGGTAACAGCTCCAGCGTTACAGGGCTAAACCGAGCCGTTCGCAATGCGCTAAAGAAGGCCAGGAGAATCCATCACAAGACGATTGGGACATGTCAGAAAGGTAAGGCTAAAAAAAACTACAGAGGTTTAATTACACAATGAGGCTCGAGACTTTACTTTATACGCTCCAAAATGTAAGTTAGGTCAAGTTTACTCAAACTAATGGTTAAAATGATATTTAAAATGACATAATTATTTATTCTTTTACTGTTTTCTACTGGCGCGAGGGCAGCATAGCGAATCATTTCTGTGCGAGCTGTATCAATTATACAAGTGTCCAGCTAGCTCGCGCATACTGCGACTATTATAAGCTAATAGCACCTGCTCAGGTGTCCGCTGCTGCCATGGCAACGGGTCCTAATCTGCATTGTCAGGCCCAGTTCACCGTAACTCTAACCACTCGGCCGGTGGTCAGGGTTTCAGCACACAGCAGGGCTTACATTACGAAGACAGCTCCCAGGCAGGGTCAGGGACTAAAGATGTGATAATGCACTGGATGAGCCTCTTTCTTTCTCTCTCTCTCTCTCTCTTTCTACCTCTCTTTCTGTCCCACCTCCCTCTTTATTTCTCTCTCTCAGTTCTTCAGGTGTGAACACTCTCAGTGGCAGTTTTCCCAAATCCCACTCATCCCAGTACTCTGACCTCGGGGTTACACGCACCCCTCTCTCTGTGGACCAGAGTCCTGATTCTGGACTTGTATCTACACCTGTGAGTTGCACACTCTCTCTCTCACACACACACACTCACACACACTCTCACACACTCTCACACAATAAGCCAGTAATCGTTCATTGCTGCTGTCCTTAAGGCATTTGTGCTCCTTACCCTCCCTTCACTCTTTGACTCCTCCATCTTCTTACCTCTCCTGTGTCCTCCCCCTTTTTTCTCCTCCATCCTTTCATCTTCCTTCCCTTCCATTTAAGCCTTCCTCCCTCTCTGAACTCAACCTGATATTCTCGGTCTGTTCTCGGCACACTCTATTTCACCCTCAGGCCACTGGCCTCTCGCCTAGATTGCTATGCAGAATGATTGTTCACCCTCTTGACTATTTGAATAAGGAAAGATGAAAAATGGCTTCTTACCTAATCCTCCCTCTGTTCCATGCAGAGTTCCTTACTTTAAAATGCTCAATGTACTCATGACTCTGCAAAGTCACCAGATTTGATGCCAAACGGCATTTCTAAGGAACTTATTTGGGGTTGTTTTAATTGCTTGTGCACATGATGGATGCTTCTGTTGCAGAACTGAACCTATGCATGTTAAATAAATATAAAAACGAAGGTGTTTTTACTACAGATAGCATTGGTATTGCATACATTTTATATTCATTTATTTACATGTGTTTTTTGAGTTTTAATACATTCTCTGTCTGTGTGTTAAAGTGTACAAGTAGTTGTAGAGCAGACCAACTTGTTTGTATTGGAGAGGTTGCGTCAGTCTGTCGAGTTGTATTTTGCTCTCTACTGTGCTTTTCATGTGATGCAAACAGGTGACCTGGGGCTGTTTTGTGAGTGTCCAGTCAATTAGGAGTGGTGGTCAAGTGGAGTGGGGTCTAGAGTAACACAGGAAGGTGTAAAGTTACACAGACAAAGTAAGGGGTGAACAAGCTCAGTGTAAGGGGGTTGAAAAGGTCAAGTAGGGAGAAGGATTTAGTCCAGAGCCGCATCCCACTAGAGTAACTGAGGCAGTGAACAGAACATCGTAATTTTTCACTGCATGTTACATTAGCAGTTTTAATAATAAGCCACAGATCTGCTATTTGATTGTCTGCAGCGTGATGTGAAACCTAAAATACTGCAGTCGGTGGAAAGATCTGTATCGACAGAAGTACATGTAGGGATATATAAAGGAAAGAGAGATAAGGGATGGAATATGGATGAGGAAAGAGGGGGAGGCTGCTGATAAAACATTAACTGTTCTTTTCGACTGAAGGAGTTTGAGTAATGACTGAACGCTTTCACCTTGTTAACACTTGTAGCCGTATTGGTTAATGGTCTTAAAAATGACCTATTGATTTTGGCTACATACTAACCGCACACTATGGGAATAGAGTTTATATTGCACTAATGGGAAGCTACGGTAGATTAAGCTTTAGTGTGTCTCCTGCTCTCCCATGTATACCTCTCTTTATGTCCGCCATTATGAAGTGTAATGTGCTGAATTTCAGCTGAAATGAATCTGACTACCAATGAGCGAATTTTGATTAAACTTAGGGGAAGGATATGACTCATCGCTGGTGTCTGAATGAGTACGTGTGCGAGATATTATAACCTCTAATGATTACATTTTAATGAAATTGTTCAGATCGGTGCACGTCTCATTTCGCAGATTAACTCCACAAATCAATAGGAGGCCCAGCCAGCGTTCGCGCTGTTCATCCCGCTCTTCTTCTTCTTCTTGTTCTGTCAGCTCCCATCAAGTCGGTTCCGGTTCGTGTCGTGGCATCGCCTGGAGCAGTGTGATGTCACAGGGGACCAGCTGACCTGCCCCAGGGTCAGAGAAGGTCTGGATCACTTTGAGGAAATCACCACTGTGACCTTTGCACTCTCATTTGCCACAGTGGAAGTAGATGTTTGCTGCAGTAATTTGGGGTTGAATGTGTCAGGAGGACAGGGAATGTGATAAAATAACCTCCTGTGATCGAATGGTAGCAAGTACAGTTTTCAGGCACTGCTGCCCATGCCTTCTTTAGAGAATTGTTTCAGAACATGCCAATGTATTTTTTGTAGGAGTAAAAAGAAACCTTTTATTTGAAAGTGACCTGCATTACTAAAGCTGAATTTCAAATGAATTAATGTAAGCATTCAAAAGGAAAGAGGGAGTTAAACATGTAGCATCTCTTCCATTTTTGTGTTGCTCTCATTTCCTGCAAGTTTCATTTAACGTAGCAGACGAAGACATAAATACTGTGACTAAGAATCCGAACTGCTAAGATTACGAATTACGAAGAGGCTTTTTTGTTTTGACAATGTCATCAAAAAGGGCCATCAGAAGAGGAGCTGTTTCAAAGAGAGGAGGATGACATCTGTTTGGAGAGAGGAAGGAGAAGGAGGAGAGAGGGGGAAGGACAGAGATGGGAAGAGAGACTGCAAGAGAATTGGGAAAACTGTCTGGTAAGTCAGCAAGTGTATGTGTGTTTGTATAATGTTAAGGATATACAATAGGGGAGAAGAATAGAGACAGTTTGAGGGAGGAAGGGACGGAGGGAGGAGATGAAGGAGTAAAAAGGGGAAATGAAGACCCTGATGATTCTCTCACCTGTCTCTTGTCAGGAGTTAAATCTGTCCTACCAGGACTTGGGCGATCCCTTCCAGCAGGAGAATTTCCTACGGATCCTCCGCCGGTTGATCCGTGTGGAGAAACTGCAACTGGTGGACAACTCCCTCACCAATCTGAGTTCTGTGCGCCTGCCAAGGTATGAACCACACTACCCAGACTGCACCACAACTCCCTCACCTGTAGATCTTACTCTCTATTCTAATCTTCTCCCAGAACGTGGAGACATATGAATATCAAACGCTGAATTCAGAGTGCTAATAAATCTGTTAAGAAGTAACGTCTCTGTTCCTTGTTGAGTCTATGTTCGCGGTAGCTCTATTGAATGTGTTCAGCAGTGTGTATGAGGCTCACAACACAAACCAGATACCATTAAAAGGGAAAAACAATCTTGTCAAGCAATATCATATTACACATTCCCATTGATTAATTAATTAAATTAAATATAATAAAGATAATAGTTTAAGTGCTATCTACTATCTTGTTAAACACTGCTGCATATCACTGCTGTTCCTTTTGACAAGGTTTTTTATCTTGTATTTGGTTTATGTTGTCCTTCCTCTTACGTGCCATAATTATGACATTTTTGCAATTTTCCTACTAATAGGTATCTTTTGAGCAGTCATGTAAACATGGAGATTGTCAGACTCTTAAAGCTAATACCCAACTATTGATCAGCTAAAGATCACTCACTTGTGTGTTAACTTGTATTTTCCTCATGTGGTGTTGATGTTATTTCGTCCACCTTTGCATATGCTTCTCATTTCAGAAAGTAGTTGTCTTTTTTTCTTTCTTTTATGTTAATTTGGGTGAAAATAACCACAAAACAGAAAGATGAGGCTCATGTGTGCTTCCGTTGGACAGGTGCAGAATGCTAAACCTGCAGCGTAACCACCTGGTGTGTCTGCGTCAGCTGCCAAAGCTCCCAGTGGTGGAGCACCTTTGTCTCTCTGAGAACGCCATCAGCTCCCTGGGGGGACTGGGAGCTCTGGGGAACAGCCCGCTCCGCTCCCTCAACCTGACCCACAACCCAGTGACCTTCACTCAGGGCTACCGTACACGGTGAGGAGACGGATATGGATAGAGGAGAGAGCAAGGGAGAGAGAGACAGTAAAAAAAGACGAGACAGTGTTTGTAAAAGAAAACATATAAGTTGATTTTACCAATATTTTCTTCTCTCATTCCCTCTCTGCTTTCTCTGTCTCTGTGTAGTGTTTTCCTATGTTTGCCAAAGCTAGAGATCCTGGATGGAATTCCCAAGCTGCCAGAAGACTCTCTGCCTACCAGACTACAGTTCCCAGAAACCACCAGGATGTGCAACATTTTATGACATTCTTGCATTGATGGATGTGTACGGAGTCAGTCCTCCCGATCCTACAACACTTGAAGCGATGACAAGGCTTCAGCAAAGTACTCTTCAGCAGACGTTGAAGTTGCACTGAAGGTTGCATTGAGCTGTTGAGTTATTCACACAAATTGCCGAAAAACACCGCGCTGACAATGCAGTCAGATGTGGTAATGTGCTTCAGGGCCATGCAAGATGCTTTTTATATGTAGTACCAATTACATCTATTATTATTATTGATATATTTGTAAGTGAGATTTTTTATATATCTTATTGACATATTTTGATAATAAATAGAAAATAGCTTAAAGACTTATACCTGTTTTTTCACGTCCATTTGTTTTCAGTTTAAAACTGAACGTAGTTCAGTACAGAGATATGCATTGAGTGGTTTTGACGAACCTCGGCTTTGATGGAGGGAAAGAGGGAGAGGGCTAATCAGATTGCTACATGACTCATCTCTGCCAGCTCGACATCTCTCAGGACTTTGCTGAGCCGACACACTCACACTCCTCTGTCTGCTACAGGCCGCACCGAACACACACACGAGAATTTGTATCAGATACAGCTACAGAAACGCAGTCTAACTAACTAAAATATAAATTTTGTATGTATTCCTGAGGCGTTAATGGTTATGTGTCTTTACTGTACATCAGTAATATCTGAGAAGAGAAACAGGACATCCGCTTTCGAGGCTTATCAAACATTTAGTGTCCAGACTCCCCGGGATAATGGCCTCATGTGTCCTCTGACTGACTGGGTAATGACCCATGAGCCTCATGCAGCAGGTCACACACACACACACACAAAACATGTACACAAAGAGTAATCCTTGGTAGCTTGCAAAGCACTCACATTGGGATTGTTTGATTCCCACTGAAAGTGCTTTGGATAAAAGAATAAAGCAAATGGCATCCACGCTGTCGTACATAACGTAGTGCTGCAGGGGTTACACACATTGGCCCCGGAGCTGATTTATTCATACATTGCGGCAGTGTATTCTTTGAATAGTGGTTTCACTTTCAGCCTGCACCTGAAACATAAACACACTTTGTTATCTGACTCTGCCTAACACAAGTATGAGTATTGCATGCATACAAGCATCTCAAGTATGAACTAGGGCACACAGACGCCTTCTCTTCCCTCAAAGTAATGCGGAGAAACACAATTGAAGCAGCCGATATCTCTCTAACAAGCATACAGCCGGGCACAAACTACCAGTTACATGCCTCATTGGGATTCGTTTAAGTGTGGAAGATTGTTTGTGCAATTTGTGTGTGTGTGTGTGTGTGTGTGTGTGTGTGTGTGTGTGTGTGTGTGTGTGTGGAGATGGAGAAAGAAGTGAGTCTGCAGCTGATGAATGAGAGATCATTACTGCTGCAGAGAGACAGCATAATGAGCTCACTGGATCCTGGTGCACCGCAAACAGGATCCAGGTCAAGAAGAGAAGCTTCGAGTGATGGTTTTCAAGATGCTATCGATTATCTCTGCAGCCCATTCTGACGCTTGCGCTTCCTTCGTGGCAGTTAAATAGCCGAGAGAGAGTTTTGAGTTGATTTTCCCCAAAAAATGGTGGGTGGAAAAAAAATCTTTTCATAGCTCGGAGCTTCAGCTTTCAAGTAAATCTTGCACCGGTGTTAAATGGGAGATTTGAGAATTGGTGGCAGTCGTGTGGGCATGCATCTCAAGATAGACTCCAGGCTCTAGGCATCGACATGTTAAGAGTTATTCACGCCTGGTAATTCACCCATGAAATGATGAGCAAGAGAGTGCAAGAATGTGAGGAATGTGGAGGAGTTATCATCCCTGCCATTGCTTGTCACTGGAAAAATGTGTGTTTATATATATATGTGTGTGTGTTGTGTGTGTGTGTGTGTGTATATCTCCCTGTGGCCTGCTATTAGCGCAGTAATGAGACACCTGTTACTCTCATACTCCTCCAGCATCCCACATGTCCCTCTGGGGGAGATCAACAATCTTGCAACGGCAGAGGGATGATGGCAGGAAAAAATAGAGTGAAAGAAAGGAAGACACCGTGAGAGAGGCAGAGAGAAAAAAAAAGCACAGGGAGGATGACAGTAAACTGAGGGGTAGAGCTGAAACAGAGACTGAGAGGAGGAGGGATGATTTGATTGAGACTGTGTGCCGGGGACAAATGTTGTTCATTAAAGGTAATTGCCTTTCTCAGTCAACCTCCTCTCGTTTGATTTTCATTTCATTCTGATTTGTCGGTTCATTTCCCATGTGAGCGAGTTCGCACACACAATCTTCTCACCTCTCCGTTCTCAACCAGAAAAAGGGGGAAGGAACAGAGTCGGCGGGATTTATACTTAGGCACATTGGAAGTGCAGACGTGATCGACTGAGCAAGCGCCCCGTGATTTCTAAACTCAAGCATGAATATTTATGACTTTTCTCCCCACTTCTGCTTGATACATATTTATGATCATCTTGTCACTGTTTGAAAATAGACCTGACAGAGGACTATGAGCTTGCTGCAAGTCCCGGAATACTTGCATCTATCCATTTTATTAGTCATGTCAGGCAACAGCCACGGAGCTTCCCAACAACTTCCTCTGGATGCTGCATGGGACCTCTAGGTGCTCTCTGGCTGGAGCTGCACGTTCAGTATTCTTATCAGCAGTTCAGTCGACGAGCAGCTCTGAGGTGCTTTCACCAGTTATTCTTACTAGGGTATGGAGACACATGGATGCCAAATGCTGAGTTCATTTTAAAGACACAATTATAAATAAACAGATTAGATTAAATAAATAAAAAATCATATATATATTGATATTTCAGAACTTATGTTTTAGTTTCAGGTTTAATCAATTCATCATGTTGCCTTTGGAATGTCAGAAAATACTTTAAAACGCCCATCAAAGTGTCAGAGATCGAAGATATACAGAGATATTCAGTTTAATTCTTCACCAGAGGACATTTTTGCTTGGAAAAAGATCAGTTGATTATATATAAGGTTAGGCAGAAGGGTCACTTATACTGTCCTAACAGAAACTAGGATAGATCTAGGTCAGGGCAGCCCATAGTGGGACCCGCAGGCTAAAGAGGGTCTGCCATAAGATTCAAATTGGCCTGCCAGATGTTTCTAGTGAAGACAAAAATAATAAATAGAAACTAATTACATAAATCACTGATAGTTTCTTCTAGGTGAAAATTATTTTTAGGTAGCACAGTGGACAGAGTGGCACTGCACAGTAATTCAAAGGGGGCTTGGGACGCTAGCACCATTTTTCATCTTAAAAATACAACACAATAGGTGTTTGCTTTTGGCCCGAGGACTACCAAGTGTCAGTTTGGGAACCCCTGACCTAGAAAGTTGAAAATATATGTCTTTTCCCTCTCTAAGTATTTTAGTTAGTGCCACAGTGGTAACAGAGCTTTTACACTTTCCAGCACTCGCCAGAAACAGCAGATTTCTACACTGTAATTTTGCTAGAGCAGTGATTGCCTGGACTGCAGTACTCATATTATTTCCTAAAGGCTAATGGAAGTAAAAAATAAATAAATAAAAAAATAAATAAAAAAAGCAGCTTCCTTAGCTTGTTGAGAATGTAGACTGCTTTTATCATGGCTGAGGCTTAATGATAATACTTTTATTTTCCCCTGCAGACAGGATTGACGGGTACAGACAGACTGCAGCACAATTCCTAACTCTGAGGAAGGCTCTACTTGCTACAAGACTATTCAAACAGACTAAATGGCAGCTAACCTAAAATGAACTTTAGGGTTTAGGTTATTGCTACATAATACATTGCTGGTTTAGCATCCATCTTACGGGCGAGTAGCTCCACTGGAGACTGTAAATGGATTATATCTTCAAGAAGGTGAAAGTACAGAATCAGACAACACAATCCCAATGACCTGAAATCCTTTGACCTCTTTATTCCCACACACACACACCATTTAGGTGACAAACGTGGTTCGATACAATCAAATTCCCACTTTTTTGTATCAAATATAACTGGTGGAAAAATGTACAAATTGTCAGCATTTATTTTTTACTATACATTGTACAGTAGACTAAAGATTTTGCAGTAAATTGCATTAAGTTTGTGAATTTAATTCACACCAGCAGTCGACATGAAACAGCCCCCCCCCGCCCCCCACTTAAGGCTATGCTGTAGCAATATGCAAGAGGCTCAGCACTAACTGGCATGCACTCGTCTCTCCTGTCCTACTGAAACGCTTTCCAAATGTAAAAATGACTAAGACCTAGAAGAGGTTTCCATTGGAAAGGCACATGTCAGCGTGACCCTTTCAGCATAGAACTGCGTCACCAGAAATGTCTCTTTTGACTGGCATTTGCGGAATAATCCAGTGAAAAAAACTCCTGCGTATCTGCTTCAGGAAGTTGGTAAAAAAGCCACTATGACACAAACTAGTTCGGTCGGGGGAAATAAAAAAAGGAACGTTGCACCTTTTTACGATTGTCAGAGTTGTTACAATCAACAATAAATAACAGAAAACGACTCGATCGATTGGAATGACAGAATGTAAATTAAAATTTGAGCTCTACAAAGAATACAACTGTTTGCATAAAACATACATATGAAGGCCTGAACATAAGGACATCAGAATAACATAATTTATCTTTGCTTTGTACACACACTCAAAGACAGCACATGATGAAAATACATTCTCCGTCTGTTCGCTGGTAAGTAACAGAACCAGACGGGCAATCAGGCAGACGTGCGAGTAGACAGAAAAGCAAATGAATAAAAAAGAAAAAAAATATACAGTATACACCCAATTTCCGCCAAACAAATTCTGTCCATTTCCACAGTGTAAGCTGCTCATTTCCATCCCCACAGTGTTTGGAATAGCATCCTCATCTTTCAGGCATTAATATCCCAATTTTCTTAATTGGATTTCTGAATGGATGGCTGGTTTTATTCCTTTGGGAAACAAGGGAAAGAAAGACCTGGTGGGCAGCCGAAAAGGCACTGCAACTGGTCAAGGTCTGCGCCCGTCTTACATCTCCGCCCTCCGATTGGTTCCCTTGTCTCGACCGGCTGCGTCCTCTTCGGCCTCCTCCTCCTCTTCGTAATTCTCCTCCTCGTTATTCTCTGCCTCTTTTCTGTGATCCCCAGCCTTTCTTGGTCCCTCCTGGTGTTTTACTTCATCCTGGAGCAAATCATAAGCACACAACACAACTATTTAATGGCCACTGTATGCAAACATTTGGAGGTTTTTCCACTAAATATGATCATTTTAGACATTTAAAAAAAAAAAAAAAAAAAAAAAAAAAGGTATTCATAACACCATTTCACTTGGAAATTATATTATCTGTCTTCAT